ACAAAGCGCTTTACAACAATTACCGTCGATCCCTCTTTCTCTTCAACTTTCCGAATACAGTACAAAGTCCCTCATGTGAAATAACTGTAGCAACTGGCTGTTCAAATCTGTTCTGTGCATTGGGAGGCTTCATGCTAATTCATCCTCAGAACTCTAAATACAAATTAGGCTTGTTAAACAGTATAATGCATTCATTAGCAACACTGAGTAGCCTTGTTGTGCGTCGAGTGCTGCTATTCATTTCTCGCTCTCACTCCCCCCCTCGCCTTTCTCCTTCATCTATCTATCTGTCTCTCTGTCTAACTAATTAAAAATTTAAATATCAGTCAGCTCATTGTGGTATTATCTCAAGGAATGCTAATTAACACATTTTCAAAAGCAGTAATTGCAACCTTGAGGATGTAATTTAAAGGGCCTTGTTCGTGTGTGTGGATAATGAGAGCACCGTTCTCATCAAGCCTGAGAGACGTCTGCTAATAAACTCTTGGAGGGAAGATTGGACAGGTTGGGATTTAAAAGTTGACCAGTTTTCTGCTCTGTTCAATGGGGGAACTTTGAATAGTGTAAACAGTTGAACCCCACGAGTTGTTAACCAACAAAATAGGTCGAAAATTAAAGGTTCAAATCCAAGAACGGTGAATTTGTACTCTTGATCAAAACACTTAACTTCTGTTTACTCCAGGTGGATTGACCTGTAGAAACTGCACTGCACTGTAAGTCACTTTGGAAAAATGTCAACTACATAATGAATTAGTTGAAATGAAGGCTTTGAAGTCAAGGTAAAATGTCCCATTGGACATGAGCACTAGCCTAGGTTACTTCTGAGAGCTTTTTGATGTCCCCTAGGTGTAAATTATGCTGTTTAGAGAGTGTGTGAGTGACTATTTGATGTTTCAGGCCTTACAAGTTATGAATTTCATTTTACACTATTTTAGCTTGTTAACTGCTTAAGTGCCAACATTAATTCAGCGTGCAGACCCGACTGATTATGATTTACTTTAACTGGAATAATAATTTGTTTAAAAATTCAGAATAATTTTACACCCAGTATCACATTCGCAAATACACGTTTCGGCCATTTTATTAGGTACACGTGTCCAAATGCTTGTTAACAAATTCCTAATCAGCCAATCACATGGCAGCAACTCATTTTATTTAGGCATGTAGACATGGACCAGACGATCTGCTGCAGTTCAAACCGAGCATCAGAATGGGGACGAAAGGTGGTTTAAGAGACTTTAAACGTGGCATGGTTGTTGGTGACAGACAGGGTGGTCTGAGTATTTTAGAAACTGTTGATCTACTGATCTACCATTTCTAGGGTTTACAGAGAATAAGAAAAAGAGAATTTCTCCAGTAAGGGGATGTTCTGTGGGCTACAGCAGCAGAAGACCCCACCGGTTCCTGTCAGCTAAGAACAGGAAACTGAGGCTACAATTTGCACAAGCTCACCAAAATTGGACAAGAGAAGATTAGATAAACATTGCCTGGTCTGATGAGTCTCTATTTCTGCTGCAACATTCAGATGGTAGGGTCAGAATTGAGCGTCAACAACATGAGGCATTGGATCCATTCTGCCTTGTATCAATGGCTGGTGGTGGTGGTGTAATGGTGTGAGAGATATTTTCTTGGCACACTTTGGGCCCATGAGTACCAATTGAGCATCATGTCAATGCCACAGCCTACCTGAGTATTGTTGCTGACCATGTCCATCCCTTCATGACCACAGTGTACCCATCTTCTGATGGCTACTTCCAGCAGGATAACGCGCCCTGTCATATAGGGCAAATCGTCTCAGACTGGTTTCTTGAACATCACAGTGAGCATTTCTGCATTTTTATGAAAAAATAAAACAAATAAAACAAATAAACATTTTCTGCAAAGCATGAACCTAATAATAACCATTAATAACTTTGAAGGGACCTCTTCATTTTTTCAAGAGCTGTATATTGTATAATGTTGCTTTTTAGACACACTTTCTGAAATCTGCATCAGTTTTAAGTCACAGAGGAACTGTGAGAGAAGGAAAGGTCAGGAAAGTTAGAGGAGCTCTGTCAAAGTGACTCTGGCAAATAAGTTTACTGAATAGGTCATTTCTGTTGGGGGACATGCACCGGATTGCGATGCCTACACTTAAAAGCAGGAAGCAAAAGCCACAGAGCTTTTAAGGTGCTTGTTTTCTGTGCTGCGGTGGGTGGATGCTCTCACAATCATGGCCAGGGTTGATTTAATGGCTGACTGGACCCATGTTCTCTGAGTTCTCCTTCTGTAACATGGCATTTCTCCGTCCCTCTCTCACTTTCTCTTTTGCACTTTGATTTCGCTCTACCTTTTCACCCTTTTTCTCTGCCGTCTTCTAAGTTTTATAACCTTTGCTGGATGCCAAGGATTTATTGTTCTGGATGACCATACATGGTTTAGGTCTTTGACTTTGACTGTTGGCTCTGCTGGGCCGTTGTCTGTATGGTCATTGGAATGTTTTGTTTGCTTTATAGTGTCGTTTGGTTGATGGTGTTTTGGGTTAAACGTGTTTTAGTCAGCTAAAAATTCCCCTTGCAGACAAGTTCCAGCTGTATTAATGGATTTTCCGAGCCAACATTAGCTCTGTGTCTTGTGTCCAAGCACTATGCTCATGGTTTTGGCTGAAACCAGATAAACAATGACTTTGAGATTGTGGCATTGCACTTCTAATGTGGTCCATTTGCATTGCACACAACAATAAAAAACTGTGTATTGTGGCTTTTGTACAAGAGGAACCAGAGGATGCCTGGTGGCTAGTTCGAGTCCCCTCACATTTGCAAGTTAAAGGATTATTTCAACCAAAAAAATGAAAATTCCATTATTGTTCATTCGGTCATCTTTACAAACTCAAAATAAGATATGTTGGATGAAATCAGAGAGGTCCCTCATCCTCCAGAGACTGCAATGGTCACAAGCAGGGTCTGATTAACATAAGGGCTAGGTGGGGCTGAAGCACTAGGGCCCACGGAAGAAAAGAGCCCTTGATTGGCTGAAGAATTCATTTGTGCTATGATACCGGAAACGCCTCTTTGCGTTATGCTTTCATTGGTCGATCATGTGAAGTATTCCTTTCGGTTCACTGCTGTTCGATAACAGTGATGCTGATGCTATAACTGGGGCTCGGAATGGCTGTAGCCCAATCGGAATATTGAATAACCCTGTTTTAGTCAACCATAAGGGTGATCAGATGCCCCAAATTTCCCAGGACAATCCCTTATTTCAGCACTACCTTGAGAACCGACCAGTCAAAGGTAGACTAACCAAGCTCATTGTAGAACATAAAATAAAATTCAAACAGTCATGACTATTGATTAACTTGTACATGTAGTAACAGAAGCTGAGATAGGTGCTTAATGGACTGATAACTGAGGCGCAGTCTCTGCCGTGTGGTGGTTACAACTGGACTCAAAAAAACGGCGCGCACCGGACAATCCTTCTATCACACAATATAACAGAGACAGTGTGCAAACACATCAAATAGCCTGCACAAGCAGTTTTCACAATGTGCGGAGTGTGTATTTCAAGTAAATACTCTTGGTTATGCTTTAAAGTAAGTCTAACTTATCCAGTTAAAAAGCAAACTTTTTATGAATGTTTACTTTGCCCCTTTTATGAAAACAGCTGTAAAAATATGGAGCAATGAAATATTGGTGCTGGCTTTCATCATACAATATATCTAATGTAAAAAAATATATTAATAAAATAAGTATGCTAGCTTTCAGTAACTCAGAAGACCACAACATTTTGGATATTAAGCATGGATTTTAAAGATATCCTAACATTAGGAATTTATAGTCAGCTAAAGTTCTAAAGAAAAGTTTTAAAGTTAAACTCCTATTTAAAATGTTTATTATAAAGCACTTATTTAGGAAGCATTGCAAATGTTTTTTGTTTTGCTGATTTAATATTATGTCATTACTTAGTTATATATAGCCTTCTTGCAGGCCTGTTTTAATAAAATAGAAAAAAAATAGATGTATAATAATCAAATATAAATCAAAGGGTGGAATATAAGATGATAATATTGATTAGTAAAAAATTAATAATAATAACAACAACAACAATATATACTGCATCTATACTTTTGTATATATAAAATATGCAATAAATAAATAAATAAATAAAAGGGGTCCATTGGATCTGCTCAATGTGTTTTTAATCTGGCCCTGGTCACAAGTCTAAGAAAAGGAACAGAAAACAGGAATGTTTAGGGCCAGAGAGCTCTTTTAATATCTTAATTTGTGTTCTAAAGATGAGGATGAGTGTGTTCTGAGTGATATATAACAGAATTTTCTTTTTTTTTTTTTAATGAACCAATCCTTTAACAGCAAAGTAAATTGAATGATTGTCCTAAATCTTCCTAAATGATTGTCCTAAAATAGATTTGTTTCCGTAACATGACAGTAACTTCAGTCTAGGCCCTGTTATCAACTGGCATTTAGATAATTTCTTTGTGTATTTTCATGAACTCAGTGGTACTCTTTCTTAAGAGTCCATTTGGTTTGTAATTGAATACAACATAAATGCTATTCTCTAAGGAGGAAGAACTCCGGAAACTTCTGCTGCAGTAAGTTACTCCATAACTGTCAATATCAGTTCGAAGAGCAATTGGATGGATTATAGCTGAACCGTGTCTAATGTATTCACACGCTGCAGTCAGCAGGCACTTAAAAGACACTTCTGCTGATTTTTAAATGCTTTCTAACAAATAAGGCTAATTATCCTGTTAGAGCTTTGGGAAGAGGTCTTTACATCTTTAATATGTATTTTGGAATGAGAAAATCTAACCAAGTGTTGCATCACACAGCCAAACAGTATCTACCAAACTACAAACATAAACGCAAATCAGAAATGCATATCAAAATGTTGCTGCTTATATCTCTGCTCATACATTTTGTAAGGTCTTATATTTCACAGTGAAGGCAGTATACTTTAATTTTTTATCAGCAAACCTAAAGCTCTTTTTTTTCCCGCCGCAGACCATCAAGGCAACATCTCCTCTCGGTGACCCGAGGGTGACGTATAACCTGGAGGAAGGTCAGGTTCCTGAGACCAACATGCCTGTGCGCTTCTACATCAAGCCTAACCGGAGGGACGGTTCTGCTTCTATACTGGTGGCAGAGAATCTGGACTACGAGACCACCGGTTTCTTTACGCTCCGGGTTCGTGTACAGAATGTGGCGGCTGTACCGCTGGCTTCCTTCACCACTGTCTATGTCAACATTACAGGTGAAATATACACTTATCTTCTGTAAATTACAGTTGATATACAGTTAAAGTCAGAATTATTAACCCTCCTGATTTATTAGCCCCCCCTGTATGTTTTTTCCCAGTTTCTGTTTTTTTTCTGCACATTTCTAAATATAATAGTTTTAATAAACTGATTTTTTTTATCTTTGCCACAATCACAGTACATTATTTTTTACTAGATATTTTTTCAAGAAACTATTATTTAGCTTAAAGTGACATTTAAAGGCTTAATTAGGTTAATTAGGTAAGTTGCTGTAAGTAGACAAGTTATTGTTTACCAATGGTTCGTTCTTTAGATAATTAAAAATAAGTTGCAAAAAAAATGCAAGTGTTTTTTCTAAATTTTTATTTATTCTTGTATATTAGAATGTGTCCCATTTAATTTTTTCATTATAAAATCAAGACAAAATTACATGTCAAAACCCACTAAAATGTCCTTCAGTGTAACAATAATTTATATACCAAAAATCATGTTTGGCATTTTACAATAGGAATCATAAAAACACTCTATTTAGAGATCAAAGTGCAGCCATGAAATAGTAAATAATTGTTACTATAAATCTTTATTTTTATAAATCTTTATCTTTAAATCTTCCTTAACGCTAAGTTTTATGAATATGCAAAAACAAATTATTATTTTTCATGATAAATTAATGTATTTGTTTCATTTTTTTCATTGTTTCTCACTAAGAATATAGCTGTTTTGCAGTAGTCTTTTTAGTAAATATTGTAGTGTTTATAGTTTACTTTTTGTCTTAAATTTAATTTTACTTAAAGTTTACTTAAAGTTTTTGTCCTTAATTTTTTTTGTCTGCATAAATGTTTACTTATTTTTCATTTTTGTTACTTTCATTTTAAAGTAAAGTACCTGGCATGTTTTTTATCTTAACTTTTTATTATTTTTTAATTCATTTTATGTTTTTATTGATTTTTTTGTTTGTTTTATTTATGTATTTATCTCAGAATATATTTTAATGGTTTTAGATATCACACTACAGCCATGAAATAGTTTTTAATTGTAGTTATAAACCTTTATGCTTTGCCACTATCCTCTTTAACACTAGGTTTTATGTAAGCAAAATATTAATATTTTTTTATAATAAATAATTGTTTTTGTTTTTCCTTTTTGCAAAAAAAGTTATTGGTTATAATAAATGACAGTGGAGCACAATTTCACCCATATTTTGCCAATTTATTTTCACAAAATGCTTTCAATTTATAAAAAATCATTTTTGTGAATAAAAAATTCACATTGCAGTCAAATTTATTTGATCTGGAGAAAATAACAGATGACTCCTACCAAATATTGACGTTAGATATACCTAAATGAATTATATATCCCAATAAAGCATTGTAGGGAGAATAAGTCAGAATCCAGAATAATTGTCTGTCAGAAGGGTGCTCTCAGCGGGCAATGACAAAAAAAGGTCACTAATGTGCTGGATGTCACATATACGAAATCATCCAAACACTAAACAAACCTTAAAATTGAAACAACTACAATCTCAGAGAGAAAGAGAGAGAGAGAGAGAGAGAGAGAAAAAGAGAAAGAGAGAGAGATACAGACAGGCACATACAATTAAAGAGACGTTATTAATGTTTTTGAATGAATTCTCTTACACTTACCAAGGCTGAATTCATTCATTCATTCATTCATTTTCATTTTGACTTAGTCCCTTTATTATTCAGGGGTTGCCATAGCGGAATGAACCGCCAGGCTGAATTCATTTAAGCAAAAATAATCTATAGAAAGTTCAAAAGAGCAGCATCTGTCTACAAATATATTACCATGTCCAGAAATCACTCTAAAACCCTGGCGGTACTTATTTAGTGCAATACGAAGAGAAAGAAAGAGAACAAAAATATCAAACATCTGACACACTGATAATAGTCCATGTTGACATGTCTCACTAGCAAACTACAAATACTCCTCGACAACGGGTTCCATGCTGCCTGTGTGCCCTCGGAGAGGTAAACACATTTGCGGTAGTTTACCAATCAGCATTTCATGCCAGCGCGGTTTCTCAGAAGCACAGCAGTGTCTGATCTGATCCGCTGATTGTGTTTGAGGCGCTGACGCTAATGTTTTTTCCCCCCCTTTCTGCATAGCTCATTTAGCCTCCATTGTGCATTTGTACACAAAAGTGTTCTCTGCTGTCATCAAGTGTACGTGGAAATGCAGATCGCTGATGAGTGTGTGACAGGCGAAGGCGGATCGTGTGTGTGTGTGTGTGTGTGTGTGTGTGTGTGTGTGTGTGTATGTGTGTAATAGGAATAGTAAAGAGCTTTGGCACCAACGCACAGCACTTGAGACCACATCAACATTAATTAAAAGGAAAATAGAGATTGAAATAGAAGGAGAAGGAGACAATAAACCCATGGAAAAACAAGTTTAAATCCAAACAATAAACCTACATTAAGTGATTCCACACATTAAAACTTTACTGCACATAATCAAAGAGTACGGATGTAAAGAGTAATGTTTAGCTTGGACATGTAGAACCACACACCAAACTTGATTACAGTGAATAAAGTATGAAAAAAATTCTTAATCTTTTTCGTGAAATTCTTGCAGTTTCTATTAAAATGAGACCAAACTTAATTTAGCAAATTATTGAGATTTTTTTAGATGCTTTATCTATTGAGATAAAGAATCGCTGTTGTACTTTTCCTGCAGGTACAGGATGTCAACACGACTTTATACCCCAACGTCATGGGGACATTGAATTACTATTTGGAAACGAAAATTAAGTGACTTCAAAGCCCAATGTCAGGCAGACGACAATGCCCAACGTCCAATGTAATATCAATCAAATATCAATGTCTAATGATGTTACAGCTTGACGTTGTGTGGAAGTTACCACTATGATGTCTATCAGATGTTGGATTTTGGTTGCTATACCTTACGAATAAATATCAGTATTTGACGTCAGTATGATATTGGTTTAGGATGTTGGCTTTTATGTTGGATTTTAGTCACTTTTCAACACAACCTAAAATCAACCAAATATCAACGTCATTTGATGTCATTATTGGACGTCAAAATAACAATGTCCTTAGATGCTGACCACGACCTAAATCAAACCATATTAACGTCTTATGAAGTTGTGTGTCTGCTGTGTTAATATAGATGTAAGTTATTTTTTACTGGTTTCTCACTATAAATATAGCCACTTTACAGTTGTTTTGTTGTTTTATCATCGAGTAAGTATTGTAGTTTTTATTGTTTACTTTTTGTTTTCAGTTTAATTTTAGTTAATGTCAGGATTGGTGGGTGGGTAAAGGAGGGAGGACTCGAGTGCAGCAAATAATATGGGTTTTTATTATGAAAATAAAATGTAAATAAAACAACCCAGAGGGGGGAAACATTAACAAAACAAAACAAAGACAAAACAACACACACCAGGACGAGAGAGCACATCCTGACTTCGCCTAGACCATGGCCCGAGCGCAGTCATGACGACGCTCATACAAAGATGAAGACAGACAGGAAATATGAGTGCTCACTGGAGAAAACTCAAGGCTGAGCACAACATACTAGACAAGACCGGACTAGTGTCTTGACTCTGCAACCAAAACAAAATTTAACAAGACCGAAGTGGTCAGAATCCTGACAGCTAAAATTTTACAGTTAAAATTTTTGATATTTGTGTTTTTTCATTAATTTTATGAAGTCAGCACAATTTTATTTTAACTTTATTTTTCATTTTTCTTTTTTAGTCTTTTTTTAATAAAAATCTTTTTTAGTCTAGCTAAAATATCTTTTTCAAAAATTATTTTACAGTTAACCCTTTTTATATGAGATTTTATCATAAATATTTAGAATTTTTGTTGAATTTATGTTTTTATATCAGAATATATTTTAATAATCGTTTTAGTTCTGTTTAACAATAATAAACCGGTGTGAATCCAACTTATAAACAATTAGTTAGCCTTTTCTCATTTGCTTCAAATGCAAAATATTAAATGCTACACAAGTAGATACAGACAGTTCATGGGATTGTGGTAAATATTTAAAATGTAGAGGGACCAACCATTTTAACCCAAAAATGACCATCCTGTCAGATGAAGAAGTATTCTAAGCTGTCTTATCAAAACTGGTTAAAAACTGGTACAATCTACAGTGCATCGAAACTGCAGCTTCTTACTACACAAAGTCTATCTTGCACAAAAAGGAAATCAGTTTAAACAGAATTAACACATAAAAACAGTAGCAAAATCCCTTTAGACATAATTAACACACAGCAAATAACAATAGGAACAGTTGTTTCCAGTCATCAGGCCCTGCAATTCCACTAAAGAGGTCTTCATGACCTATACCTGGTTTGGTAGCTCCTGAAAATATGGTTTTGACAGACAAAGATAGGGATAAAGACACGTCAACTGAACATTCCTAAATTAGCTAATGTTTTAACTTTATTTACTGCTCAAAATGATTTAAAATATGAATTACCAATTCAAATAATACTATTAATAAAGTAATGAGAAAGAGGATAAATGCTGATCTGAAGAAAGAAGTCTAAAAAATATTGAATATCGTTAAAAAAAGAAGAAAAAAAAGAGGCTCATTTGCTTGCAGGTCTCATCTCTTGCAATTAAAGTATCCTTCTATTTGTATACATTTTTGAAACTTGTATTTACATGTACTGTAAACGCATGCTTGTTACTAATCTAATCTCCTCTTCATCTTTTTTTTTCTCCAGATGTGAATGACAATGTTCCCTTCTTCATGTCGTCCACGTATGAAGCAACAGTTCCAGAAGGGGCAGAAATTGGCACATCAGTCGCTCAGGTCTCAGCCACCGATCTAGACTCTGGTCTTCATGGCATGGTGAGCCTCGTTTCAGCTCTTTAACCCATGTCTGTTTGGCCTTTGCAACAAGGTCTTTTCGAAATCCTCTTTCTCTTCTCAGATTAACTACATCATTCTGAAGGACCAAAGCGGTGACTCGCAGTTCTTCAGCATTAATTCCTACACAGGCATCATCCACACGCGGGCCACCTTCGACCGTGAGCAGAAAGGCTCGTACTTGATCGAAGTCCAGTCTCAGGACAGCTCCGAATCTGCCCGACCCGGTCAGCAGGGCCAACCCAACACAGGTGTGATCAATCAAGCGTGTCTTCTTCATCCCTTGGTTTCCCCCTCCACCAATTAAAGACGGGCCACAGCAGCCTCCAGCATGAACTCCATTCATTAAGACTTCAATGAGTCATGCCTAATGAAGAACTAATGCCGTCCTAGGGATTTGTGTGTAATATAGGCCACGTTTAATACAATAAGTCCACAGTTGCAATATTAAACAGCCATTAAGATGTTTAATACATTTTATGGAATAAATCATTACAAGTTTTCACAAATAATAGTTTCTCATTAATGCTTTCTAAGAAGACTACAGTCTTGTAAATATGTTTTCATAACAGCGAAATAAGTTTGTTAAAAACTCTGCAGTCTGTAAGAGTTTTTTTAGAAGTTAATAGTTTGATTTTGCAAACATGCATTAATTAAACCCATATTCATCAAAGATTCAGAAAAAATATAACTGTTTTCAACTTTAAAGAAACACTCCACATTAAAAAATGCTCATTTTTACAATTCCCCTAGAGTTAAAGAGTTGAGTTTTACCATTTTTTTTTATCCATTCAGTCAATCTCTGGGTCTGTCGGGATCACTTTTAGCTTAGCTTAGCATAGAGCCCTGAGTCAGATTAAACCATTAGCATTTATTTAAAAAAAAATTACCTTGCAAGCATGGGGACATTTGTTAGAGATGATTTAGAAAATATTTAATTAGGTCCATATCCTGAAATATCTATCTGAACTAGTGTTGTCACGATGCTGAAATTCGATACCAATCGGTACTGAAATTTAAAAAAACGACCATTTCTCGCTAACGTTTGAGCGCTGTTGAGCACGTTCTTAAACATCGCTGATTTGCCATTGGCTCTTTTTCAATTCCACGAACGCAGAGAACAGACTTGCGTTCTTGTTGATACCATTTTTGTCAGGTTCCCTCTAAAGAACAAACTTGGGAGACATGAGATGCTGAGAAATCAGATGCTGTGTTCTTCCTGATGGTCACATGACCTTCATGCATTTTTAACTGAAATTATTTAAACTTTACAGCATTCATACAATGATTTGTTGTTTTTCCCCTTTTAAATATACAGTTGAAGCCAGAATAATTAGACACTCTGTTAATTTTTTTCCACAATTTTCTGTTTAACGGAGAGAAGATTTATTCAACACTTTTTTTTAAACTTAATAGTTATACTAACTTTTTATAGTAACTGATTTATTTTATCTTTGCCTTGATTATAGTAAATAATTTTACTATCTTTTTAGAAGACACTTCTATACAGCTTAAAGTGACACTTAAAGGCTTAACTAGGTTAATTAGGTTAACTAGGCAGTTTAGGGTAATTAGGCAAGTTGTTGTATAATGATGCTTTGTTCTATAAAATATCGGGAAAAAAAGCTCAAAGGGGCTAATAATTTTGACCTTAAAATGTTTTTTTTTTTTTTACTTTTTTTTACTTTTTACTTTTATTCTAGCCAAAATAAAACAAATAAGACTTTCTTCAGAAGAAAAAATATTATCAGACATACTGCGAAGATTTCCTTGCTCTGTTAAACAACTAAATATTTTAAAAAGTAAAAAAATCAAAGAAGGGCTAATAATTCTAACTTCAACTGTATATACCATGCACAAAAACCTTAAAAATACTTTGCACAATAGAAATAAAACAGATTTTAATGATAATTTTAGCAAATAAACACCCTTAATGTGTTTATGCCTTTATAAAGATTTAATGTTTAAAGATGTTAATGTTTACTTCCACCGTCTATATTGGGGAAACTCCTGATATAAATAAGTTATATTTCTGAACTTTAGTAATAAACAGATATAAAATGCTGCAGTTCCCACCTCCTTTATTCATCCGCAATGACTTCCAGCACTTCTCGAAAGAAAGTTTAGCAATCATTTCTGCATCGGTGCATCCTCGATATTAAGAACACATCCGGGGACTTTCATGCATCCTTTATTCTTGCGATCTTGAGTTTTGAAACTGAACTTTGGTGGTTGATTATGGTGCTACACAAGAACACAAGGACACAAGATAGATGAAGAATGCATACTGAGAAACAGCCTTGGTGTTCACATGCTCAACGGAAATGACTGTGATTGGCCGTGAAGCCGAACTCACCGCTGAATACTTAGTGTAACCACAGATACAGGGACACTGGAGTGCTTTATAAACAGACCAGCCGATCTTTGCATCTTTAAAATGTTCCAGTGTTCCTGTATCTGTGTTTATACTCAGTAAACAGCGGTGAGTTCGGTGAACTGATGACCTTCATGGCCAGTCATTGAGCCTGTGAACACAAAGGCAAATCATCGCTGTTTAAAAATGCTCAACATCACTCAAATGTTAGTGGGAAAAACCATTTCTAAAATTCCAGTACCAATTGATATCGAATTCCAGTATCATGACAACCTCTTATCTAAAACATGAATACACAGAAGATGGCTGATTTTCAGGGGCTGCATAATATCATTGCGTCTGCTTTATCATGGTAGCAGCAGCTAAAGTCCTTTGATATGCTAGCATGAGAGTATATAGTTCAGGGGTGTCCAAACTTGGTCCTGGAGGGCTGGTGTCCTGGGTAGTTTATCTCCAACTTGCTACAACACACCTGTCAGGAAGTTTCTAGTTTATCTATTAAGAGCTTAATTAGCAAGTTCATGCGGGTTTGATTAAGGTCAGACCTAAACTCTCCAGGACAGCGGTCCTCCAGGACCGAGTTTGGACACCCCTGGTATAGTTCCTATAGCCATATCAGCCTAGAAAATAGCAACTTTTAGTTTTCCATCTGTCTTAGTGTAACTACACTACATAATGTAACTACAGGTAAGCTTTAAATAGGAAAATTATTGAATGTCTTTGGTCATTTTTGAGTGAGATGCTAACAGTCTAAACTGATTCAATAGTCTATGCTAAGCTAAGGCTATGCTAAAAGTTTTCCAATTTTTCAGTTTTAAGATGGATTAAAAAATGATAAAATTCCTAATTTAATTCTAAGTTGTAAATTCAGTCTATTTTCAACAAAAGGAGAGTGTTCATTTGAAAAATAAGAAAGAGTGAGCAAATTAAAATCATTTATGAAGGATGCTGAAAAATTTGCGATCAGAAATACATAACAGCTCATTTAAATATTTTAATAATGTTTCATGATATTATTTTTTCATGAAATAAATGAACCCTTAATGATACTTTTTAATTAAAATAGTCTTACAAACGCCAAGCTTTTTCACTGCAGTTTAAACATATAGTATATAGGCATGTTCATTTGTGCTTTGACGATAATTAATTATTAATTAATTGTTAATTAATCGTCACTATACAATGAATGCCAATGACTTGTTTTTGTTTTGTTGTCGCATCTTGGTTTGATTTATAATAATTATCCATAAAGAACGTCTTTCCTCTTGAGATACTTATTACATTAATGTATTCTGGAAGTAATACACACCTCTTCTGCCCCATAGACACAGCCTACGTGAGGGTTTTTGTCACGGATGTTAATGACAACGCTCCAGCTTTTTCTCAGCCGGTTTATGAGATCAGCGTGGAGGAAGACAAGGAAGTGGGCTTCGTGGTCATTACTGTTACAGCTAACGATGAAGATGAAGGTAATTTTTTCTGTTGTATGTAGGCATGTCATATATATTATTTAGGCGGTTCTATCACTTGTCTTTAGTTTTGCTGCTTTAGATTTGTTTGTTTGGGTTTGTATCTGACAGCCCACTGATACTTTTGACGGAGAAGGAGAAGGAGGGGCTGCAAAAAGATATTGAGCGAAATAAATCTAGGTGGAAAATTCGCTTCTGTTTGTGCTGAGCTTGTTAGCAAATCTCTGCGGTGAATGTGGGAGTAACAATTTCAGCACCCCATTTGATGTTTGTCTCTTTGATTTGTTTTTCTTTGTTGTCTTCAAGAAAAAGAATTAAATAAGTAGCAGGCCTTCTTTAATGATGGAAGTAAACCCATGTGTGAAAGATTTTGTGTAGAAATTTACATGAGATGCACGGCATCTGAGAGCCTAGGCAAACAGCCATTGAGATTTTTAAATGGATCGGGATATGCGGCTCTGCCCTTTTGAAATATATATACAGAAATGATAAAAGTCGTGTATAATGGCATATTTTTGACAAAACTCTTGGGAGCCTTTACTTGGTGGCTTAACCAGAGATTAAATGAGAAGGAAAATAACAAGTGTATTAAACAAGCTGCACGGATTCCTCCCTCTGTTGTGTGTCAGTCAAATAACAAAACTTTCAAATCTTTCCATCTGCTAACAAAGGAAACAGAATGTTTTCTCCAAAAATGAAAACTCTGTCATTATTTATTCACACTCATGCCATCTGTAATTTCTTTTTTATTCTGTATAACACAAAAGAACATTTTTGTATTTCAGAATGAGCGATTTTGATCATACAAAGCCAATGCAAGTTTATTTATATAGCACATTTCATACACAATGGTAATTTAAAGTGCTTTGCATAAACAGGTATAAAAAAAGAGAAGTATAATAAAATAAAAACAAAGAATAAAAATGATCAAAACAGATTAAAGTGTGAAAAACAGATTTAAAAAAATGAAAAAGTAAAGAAAGACCCAATAGTGTGATCTGTCAGATGTAGCACAGTGCTCATTCAGTAAAGGCGCAGCTAAACAGATGTGTTTTCAGTCTTGATTTGAACGTGCCTAATGTTGGAGCACATCTGATCATTTCTGGAAGCCGATTCCAGCAGCGTGGGGCGTAGTGATCAGCTAGGTTTGTTTTTAATGAGCAGATCTTAATGCATTGATGTTTTAGGCCATTTAGTGATTTATAGACAAGTAATAATAAATTAAAATCCTTTTTGAATGTAACTGGGAGCCAATGTAAAGACCTGAGGACAGATGTGATGTGCTCTGATTTTCTGGTTCTGGTCAGATTTCTGGCAGCCTTTTTAGGAGGGCCAGTGAGGAGTCCATTACAGTAATCCACCCTGCTGCTGATAAAAGCATGAACTTTTATCACCTTTAGTCCTCTCTAAAATAACAATATAAAGAATTAGCTCCACATCAGAGCCATAAAACTGGATTTCAATGTTACTGAATGAGGAAGTTTATATTTTATGTAATTTTTTACAAATATTTGATACAAATACACAACCATGTTATTTTAATATCAACGAGATTCTGTCATACTTTTTGTTTACTTTTTTGTACAGTTGTGTATGTTTAGGCAATTTATTATTTTGTTGTGAATTATTTTAGTACATCAAGTAAAATGAGAAATGTATCTCCTTGGCAATAAGAAAGCTAGATGAACTAAAATACTTGAGTAACCCATTGGTCCTACTGCGCCCAACCCTGTCTGAGCTAAAAATCAAACCAGCAATTCTTTGCGTGATAGTCGGTTGCTCTAACAAGGAGGCTAAAGGCCATAGCCTCTAACGTCTGTCGCTAGAGCACCATTTGAGGTCAGAGGAGTGAAGTTAACCGGCATAGCACTTCACTTGCTGGCCTCTATTACACATAAAATGTTATTGGTTATTTTATTTTAAATAATAAAATCATCCTTTTTTGATCAAAGGGAAAGTTTAGCCAAACATAAACATTTACTCACTTTAAAGTAGTTCCAAACCTGTATAAATTCACTTCTTCTGTTGAGCACAAAAAAGGTCTGGTAACCAGACAGATCATTTAACCACAGACTTTCATATTAGCAAAAAATACTATGGAAGTCATTGGCAACTTGTTACCAACATTGTGAAGTGCTCTGAAATGTGCATTTTTATTCAATGTTTGATGTAATCTTAACTAAACATACAAACTAAAAAATAAGTACATAGCATTGCTTCTCCACTTAAAAAAAAAACAATATCGTTTTGTTTTATTACTGCTCTGCCAGTGAGAGTGGTTAAGCGCATCAAATGAAAGCTATTGAGAATTGTATTGAAAGGGGTCGGGGCATGTCAGTAACTAGAAAGCATTTGATTGGTCAAGATGTGATGAGAAACTGAAGTATGAGATGATGTGAAAAAAATCATTGATCCATTCAGGCATAAGCTTTCCATGTTTATACGAGTTTTATATTTTGGAGCACGCTACTCTTATAGCTATCTTAAAAACTAACGGTACTAATACCAACATCTAAAAAACTTTATTTTAATTAATGGGACCTTTAACTGGAAGGTATGATGACAGAATATATTGTTGTGTAATCTGTCACTTTAACTATAAAAGTCTGTGTTCACAACAACATGAGGATGAGCAAATGTTAACAGAATTTCACATTTTCCACAAACTGCATTTTTAAGATAACACAGACAGGCGAAGAGAGGACAACATGCAGTTTTGTTGTCTTAACCGCTCAACACAGCAGCTTACTTTGGTATTGTTACCAAAGTATGCAGAACCCCTCAAGGGCAAGCTGAAATTGCAGGGAGTTCATGTTTATTTCAGTAGTGTACAGACTTTGCAATGATGTAACCATCACCATTACACCATTTTACAGAAAGCAGCCTGTGTATTTTTGTCCATGTAATATACAAGATGGCAAAATTAGCATGTGCGCGAGCATTGCTGACAGTGTACTTTACCCTAATGCTATGCATTGTTTGACCTCAGGAATAAAACTTGGCTGTTTAGTAAATGTTTTATTTATGTCTTTAGAGAGCCCCGTATCCTTCAGATGATCTGCCTGAAAACATCGCCTTAGCAGCAGAAGCCATGTGAATGCATGAGCAGCTTTGAATTAGCCTAGCGAGCTCTCTGTGGTCAGTTGAATTAGCATATTCTGAGTGACTGCTAGTGTTGATTTTGTGAGTTTTGGAACTCCGACAGCCATAGAGTCGGCCCTGTTAATCTGGACACGACAGGCTTGGACAAATCACCTATCCGTCCAATGTAGCGTGGCAGCCTGCCTGTCTGCCCACCCCCTCATTTCTCATCCTCCGCCTGTAGAATATTCCAGGCTGTCACCTCCACACATCTCAGTGACACCATTCTTCCACCTGATCTCGGTCTGATTTCCATCAGGGCATGGCGACTTGGGCTCATCTGTCAACATAAACAAACAGGCGGGAGCGCAATGCCTCTCACGGTGGTGCGGCTTCACCTGTTACATATGCATGACAAATTAGCTGTGGCGTGGAGCCGTGTCAACAAGCAGGCTGCGGTGAAGGAGACAGGGGCAGCGGGATGGAGATGTGCAGGTGTCTGATAGCTCATTAACGATGAGGCGCCCGCACCGTTGTGGAGGTGAGAAGGGTGACTTGACCTGCCACGGCTGGATGGACAGTCCGGAGCCGAGCGACAGCTAATATCTCACGACTGTCATGAAGGGGAATGCAAATCGAAGCTTGATGTCCCTCTGTCCCCGTCCTGCTTTGGAAGGCACAATGAATGAGATCGCCATTAAAATGCAATATTTCTTATTACGCTGGGGATGAAAATGGGGAATTGGAATAATTAGTAGCTGATTTGAAGGAGAGGAGGAATTTTATGGTCCTGTTAAGTGTTTCCTAAAGCTGATTAGCAGTGCCCTCTTTGAGCTGTTCATTAAACTCCAGACTGATTTCCAAGATGGAATATGTAAAACATGCCGAACTTTCTTCAACAGCCGATTGAGCACAAGGTCTTCAAGACTTTCAGCTGTCTTTCATCGGCTGTGACCATCCTATAGATCACAGTAGTTAGGTTTAACCTGGTTGGCCCATGGTGCCGCTGTAGGGAGGGCCGCCATATGGCCTGGCTGGTCATTAAGAAAGCTTGCTTTTGGCAAAATTACTAGAGCTCCCCTCAGCAAGTGTCACAGCACATCACACTTCATATCCGTGATGGCCGTAGCCAGGATGAGCGTGACACGTTCTAATGAAATCCTCACACATCACGCCCAGATGGTGTTTGTCTCATAGAATCTGATCCGGACTGGTAAACAGAGATGGCACAAAACTAAATCCTTGTCCTCGCTACAGTGTACCATGGTGGGTAAATCAAGTCGGGGTCAAACCGGAGAGCAGCAGAAGAGGGAAAAATTTAATGATTGATTAAAATAAGATACATTTTCAATTTCAAATCAAAACTATCACATTTAAAAAGTCAAATAGGATTCGTTTAATTATGATTTGATCAAGTATCATCTGTGTGTTATGTTGAAAATGATGCACAGTTTGTTTGTGACATACTGTATTGTGTTCATATGTATGTTGATTTCCGTATTTAAGCACAATCATATCATGCCTGTGTGCATTAGAGCCGCCTTGTCCTTTATGTAATCCTCATCAAATGAGCACAGATTAATGCTGACATTCTCTTTTTCATCCAGCTCAGCCAAGCTTAACACTTCCTAGTATGCTAACACTTCCCAAACCCCCCAAACAGGTGCCAATGCCAAACTGCGGTACCAGATTACCTCTGGGAACACAATGGGCACGTTCGATGTGGAGCCAGAGGTTGGCACGATATTCATTGCCCAGCGGCTAGACTATGAGCAGGTGCAGCGCTACGAGTTACGGCTGGTTGCGTCGGATGGAAAGTGGGAAAACCAAACAATGGTCGTCATTAATGTCATCAACCAGAATGATGAGGCACCCCTTTTCACTCAGACTGAGTACCATGCCAGCGTCATGGAGGAACTTACAGAGCTTCCAGTTCTTGTGCTAGAGGTGAGAGGTCAAAGCAGACATCAAACAATTGCAGTAATGTTGTCGATGCAACTTGTTGCAGTTTCATATTGGGATTTCCTGAAGTGATGTACAATATTTATTAATGTGCTCATGTAGTTTAAAGCTTAGAAAGAAAAGAGGAAGCCTATTTGAATCAATATTTTGGCACACCCTTCCACGGTTTTAATTCTACTCTAGTGTGTCTCAATATTGCTGTCTATTGTTTTGTCAGTGTAAAAATAGACTTCAAAGGTTTCAAATAAACATACCGGAAAAGAGGCGGAGAGAACCATCAGCATTTCTTTGCTGCGTCTATTAACTTTTAATTGCCTCATGTGTTCCGTGACTAGTGTGTTGAATTCTAATATGCATGCCTGTTTTTTCCCATCTGTGCCTCTCGCAGGTTTCAGCCACAGATCCAGATCAGGAGGCGGACCAGCGTGCAGTGCGCTATTCTCTACACGGGCAGGGAGCTGGTAGCGAATTCACCATAGATGAGATTAATGGTAGGATCTTCGCCCAACGACGATTAGATCGTGAAGTTCGCTCGGCCTGGCAATTCCTCGTACTTGCCACAGATGAGAATGGAGCAGGTCTTACCGGGTTTGCTGATGTTCTAGTCGATGTGCAGGATATCAATGACAATGCTCCTGTCTTCCTGTGTGCAACAGACAATTGCTTTTTGGGTCATGTGCCTGAGAACTCACCAGCCGACACCTCCATCATGGAAATGCGGGCCACTGATCTAGATGATCCAAAAGCTGGCAAGAATGCCATCCTCACCTACAGGATTGTGCAGAATGTGCGCAATGAGATAAATCTCAACCTTTTTTCCATCAACCCAACCACTGGCACCATCTATACCGTCCTGCGTTCTTTAGATCGGGAAGTGGTGGATCGATATCTTGTTGTGGTGGAAGCTCGTGACGGAGGAGGACTTTCGGGAACAGGAACTGCCACTATTGTAATTTCCGATGTGAATGACCATCCTCCAGTGTTCACTCAAAGGGTCTACATGGCCTCCATGTCAGAAAACTTGGACATCAACAGTGAGGTAATGGTAGTAGCTGCCACAGACGGTGATGAAGGTGAAAATTCAGTAATGACGTTCAGCATCATTGGTGGAGATGAAGACCGCAAGTTCTTCATAGAGACTGACAAAGTGAACCGCCGTGGTATAGTGAGGCTGAAGAAAAAGATTGACTTTGAGAAACCACATGAGCGTACGTTCAACTTGACAGTCAAAGTGGAGGATGCTGACTTCTTCAGTCTGGCCTATTGCATCATTCAGGTGGAAGACTCCAATGATCACACTCCAGTCTTTTTCCCACAGTTTTACGAGGCAGGATCCATGTTTGAAGATGTTCCTGTGGGCACCATCGTGGCACAGGTGACAGCCATGGATCTGGACTCTGGTCAAAATGGGAGATTCACATACAGTATTGCCCCAGAATCTGACCCCTTTCAGCAGTTCCTGGTGGATAAGAGTGGTTGGGTTGTAGTAGCTGACTCTCTGGACAGGGAGAAGGTGGCCCAACATAGGCTCATGATCCTGGCCACAGACATGGGGAGCCCTGCTTTGACTGGCTCTGCCATTGTGCTAGTGACTGTACAGGATGTCAATGACAATGGACCAGAGTTTGAGGCTCCATATCGGCCCATCGTGTGGGAGAACACTATTGCGCCACAAGTTATTCACATGAATGACACATCTACTCTTTTGCATGCAATTGACCGAGACACATCATCCAACGGAGGGCCTTTTTCTATCCGTCTGCTGATGCTGACCTCTGATGTTACCAATTTCAACTTGACTGATATGAGGAACGGCAGTGCAATGATTACTGCTCTTCGCAGCTTTGACCGGGAGCAGCAGAAACAGTATCTTCTCCCCATCCTAATGATTGACAGTGGCTCTCCTCCAATGAGCTCCACCAGCACACTTACCGTCATAATTGGAGATAAAAATGACCATCCTCATGCGCCTGGACACAGCGAGTTCATAGTATACAACATACAAGGTATGTTCCAAAGCAATGTCATAATCTTGCTACTATGGTAAAATGCACTGACTTTGGTATTTACATGTCTCACACATAATACTCTATGGTGTTTAAAAATACTGTGATATTACATGTTCAAAACACCAGGGTTCCATGGTATTATTATAAGTGTTACCAAATTTATTTAGCATATTTACTTGGTACTACAAGGTTCTTGAAAGTTTCAAAATACAAGGGTAACGCTAAAGTTTATATATCAAATACTTTGGTTATACCATTGTACTTTTTGTAAACGTTATCATATTTATTTAGCAATAGCATCAGTGTTCATTTTGACAGCAAATTTTGATTGAGCTTTGGTCTTTTGACTAATATTCTATTTTAGTTTTAGTCATATTTTAGTCTTCTGAATCATTTTAGTTTTAGTCTAAGTTTTAGTTTAATTTCATAAGATTTTTTTGTCGACTAAAAAATGTGATTTAATTAAATATTGTAAACATGTATTCATACAAAATGTTCTAACTTAAAATTAAATAAAACAGTCTTAATATAGCTTTTCCATTGAAGACAAAAAAATAGTGACGCAGTGGTGCAGTCGGTAGTACTGTCGCCTCACAGCAAGAAGGTCTCTGGTTCGAGCCTCGGCTGGGTCACTTGACATTTCTGTGTGGAGTTTGCATGTTCTCCCTGCGTTTGTGTGGGTTTCCTCCGAGTGCTCTGGTTTCCCCCACAGTCCAAAGACATGCGGCATAGGTAAATTAGGTAGGCTAAATTGTCCATAGTGTATGAGTTTGAATGAGTGTGTATGGATGTTTCCTAGAGATCGGTTGCAGCTGGAAGAGCATCCGCTGCGAATAAAAACACATGCTGGATAAGTTGGCGGTTCATTCCGCTGTGGCAACCCCAAATTAATAAAGGGACTAAACTGAAAAGAAAATGAATGAATGACAAAAAATTAGATATGCATTGTTTATGTATATCATAAGTAATATGTAAAATTGTGTCTGCAATCAATACACATGTAAGAACAGTAGCCATCTGAAAATCCAGGACTTATTTATCCAGAATTATTTAGCAAAGCCTTTATTTTAACGTAGTAAACTACTAGTCTTTTTAACCTGTTGTTGTTTTCTGTTGAACAGTTTCAAGCCATTAAATCTTTAAAAGGGCTTAAAAAAGTCCACTTTTCACTGTCAGACAATAGCAAGCTTTACTGTTGCAGTTGCTGTTACAGTACATGTAGGTGCTCCGTTATAGCATTGAGTAAATATTAGAGTATTGGCATATTACTGGCAAATGATAACGTGTTATCTTGTAAAATGTGCACTCCGTTCCATAGCTGTGTTAACCCACATAGAGGATTTCCAAAGTGAAAATATATGTAAAAATAAAAAGTTTGATTAATTTCAAGGCATAATTTCAAGTGACTCCCAATAAACAGATTTTTGCACTACAGTATCATTAAATCCCTAAAGACATAATAAATAATCACAACGCTGAATAAATTAGCAGCTAAAATAAAATGCGCAAGGAAAAAACTCGTGAAAATGAATGCTCTGATCATATGAATTTAAGACTTACCGATTTAATATCTTTTAATGTACAATCTAGAGGAGTCAATTCTATAGGTCAGCGAGAGGCTATGCCGTTTCAGTTAAGCAAAAGCACACACTCAGGTGAATAAAATAGATTAGAGTTTACCTTTGCGTGAATTCTGGATGATTCCCTGGCATGCTGATGTCGCTTTATATTTGTTATTGTCTATTTGTCTAAATACAAACACAAATCTTATTTTTTCTCAGCTGTTGCCATTTCATTTAGTTTAATCAGACAGACGGCCCCTTCGAACGATGACTTTTCAAATGTGTGTGTGTGTGTGTGTGTGTGTACATCATGCATCACACATTAAGATTGATTCTGATTGGATAATTTCCAAAGAACATCCCTCAATCACATTCTCGTCTCGTTTTCATTAGTCAACGAAAATGTCAGTATATTTTGATTATAGTTGTCGTCATCATCACTTAATTTTTATTTAGTTTTCGTTGGTAGAAACTTGTTCGTCACAAAAATTATGATTAAAATTTTTCGTCAACAAAATGAACACTGTTTAACATGATATTGTACTTCAACTTATATATCAGTAAATGTTTAATAACTATGTTATTTTAATACCATGGCACAATTTGTAAGTGTTGCAATATGTTCAGCGTGATATTTACAATAATTTAAGATATCTACATGATGTTTCATGGTAATTGTAAAACATTAGTTTTGCTATGTTACATGTCCAAAACACAGCCTGTAAAGCTTTAACCACTCTCAATATATATTTTTAGCATTTTCCTCTTGCATTAGCCCTCTCATGCATTAGCCTTCTAATAAGAATTTGTCATGTAGCTCAAACATGGCATGATGCTAACAATTTGCTTAAATCCCAGGTTTAAGAAGCACATAAACACGAGGCATTTTAAAGGATGTTGATTTCATGACTAACAGGATTACAGCATTTCGTTTTGCCTTTTGGAGAAATGGCAATGTTGCATGCTAATAGCATTGCATCCCCCCCACTGTGCTGTTTAAGTGGGTCCATATGTGCCAATGAGATGCTCTGCTTTTTGCTTATCTCCTTAAAGATACCTCTCCTCCACCCTCCCACACAGGCACGCATCGCCCCAGGTATCGCACAGCCTGGATGGAGGTAGCTTTTCTCTAACCTCATTATGTATTTTCCCCAGGTACACTCCCCACGACGGTACTTGGACAGGTTCAATCCCCTGACCTTGATGACTGGAGCGAGAAGGTTTACAAGTTCGAAGGCAAACCCCCCAGGTGCTTTGATCTTCTATTGAAGTTTGATTCAAACTCTGCTGTGTGTCAAGTGACACCTACAAGGGAAGAAAAAAAAGAACAAAAGCGAGGGGAAGATAAAGGATGAGACCGTGCATATTAGCTCACTGACATCTCGCCTGTCACTCTTCTTTTTAATTTCAAAATTTGCTCTGAAGTGATACATGAATTCTCACCTAGTAACCCATAAGAAAGATTACATTGGCTAGAGGTGCTCTCTAAAGAGCTGCATCTAAGTGATGGTCTTTGTCCAAACCAGATTCTGTGGCTCATGCCAGCGCTAGCACCTTCAAGCAAAGCGATTATGCTAGCACTCCAGCAACCAGTGCCAACTCAATCAGTTTAGTCTTGAGTTCAATCACACTCTATTTCAAGTTCCATCTAAAGCTGTGCCCGACGGTGTGTTATGCAGGATCCGCTCTCATTAATTTGGATAATTAACACATTAATACATTAGCAGTTTGATGCTAGCTTGTGTGACACATCTCTTGGCACTGAGAGCATAGCTTCGATCCAAGCAGTTTTTCATTTGCTTACTTGACAGTTAAGTAGCTAATTTGGCACCGGCGCTGAAGGTTACCATTGAGGTGGAACTCTATTCCTGTTATATGAACATGATTGAATTTAATTTGAGCTGCGACTACTGTGAGTTTAGCGACCTTGCTGCACAATGTCTGGAGTTACAGGGCCAAGCTTACAGTGGCTTCAGTGCAAACGCCATATTAGGAGACATAAAGCAGCGTTGCTCTAATTGGCATGTCATTTTTGTCCTTGTCCTCTTGCACACCCTACAAGACATCATAAGCTTGTCTCTCACACTAGTCTGTATTTGCAGTTAATATCAAAAGTCAAACAGTTGATTTCAACAATACAACTGATGTTTTTCTGCTTTAAACTTTTGTGAAAATCAGTTGTGGACAGTAGTAGGTATGTTTACGGTACTACTGTAGTTTAGTATTTATTTGTAGTAGTATTATATCAGTATGTCTATTTAATATTTTTATCTGTTCTCGAGACAGCAAATAAACAGAAATGATTCATTTAGGCAACAAAGACTCATTCTGAAAACGTCCCCTGTAGCCAGAGGAATGTTATTTATATATATATATATATACTTTCATTTTCTGTTTTTTTTTTAAGTAAAACAGAAAAACAACAATATTGTGTCAGAATATACACACTTTGCACACTTTTAGGGTATAAAAGCCAGAGTATAGCTTTTAAAACGAACGCTACGGGGTGGTATGACAGCGTTCGTTTTGCTCTTACCAGCTGATCGCTTATCTCCATATGGATAGCTTTCTCGCTGTTACCAGTTTGTCCAGTTAGCTCGCCACAACAAAGAGTCCAGCGGAGAATGGTTCCAGAAAGCAGGTAAATCAAAAACAGAAGCCAAAAAATTAATAATCAAGTAGAAAACGAAGAGAATGTGGTAAAATTTGGTAAAAAAATCAGGCAAGGGCTTTTCTTTTTCTGGATTGCTTTTGAAAATTGTCAGTTGGGTTTAGGAAAAGGGGTGGGTGGGTCAGTCGATCGGTCCTCTGGTGGATTTACACGAGAACAGCAGGCGCAAATGGCACTTGCGTTTGAAGTTTGAAATCTGAAAAAGCATACGCAGCAGACTCTGGTGTATTTGCAAAAAAAACTGCAAAAAAAAAAAACACCTCCTGGGACGTATTTGGAGCTCTCCAGAAATGTATATAGTGGTACATTTTCAGAATGAGTCTGGGTTGTATCAAAATGTCAATGTCAATGTGAAAGTCAGCTGTGGACAGTAGGTATAAACTTCCCTACTGTACTTTAGTGTATATAAATCTAATAATAATAATTATTATTATTATTAGTATCATTAATATTATTATTATTATTATTATTATTATTTCAGTATTTTTATTTTATTTGGTTACTTCATTATATTTTTACCCAAAATATTGTACTTTCTTCTTTTTTTCATTTCATGAAAGTAGTGGAGTAAAAAGTTGTTTTAAACTTGAAAAATCATTAACTACTTAGAGATGTGAAGCGGTGTTTGATTTTTAAACAAGACTGATCTTATCAGTTAACTTGTGACAATAAACTGATAAAATTGGACAGCTCTGTTTACATCTGTTCTCAAGGCAACAAATCAGCAGAAATTATTCAAGTTTATTCAAATGTTCAGTTAACAACTTATTCAAATGATTTGGTCAAAGTGAATCTCCAGTAAATAATCCTTCAAAATGTTCACACTTTTTTAAAATAAGTCACAAAAGGGGAGATTGTGAGTGCTTGTCACTAGAGGTCAGATTTCTTGCGACGTGGGAGTACATTTAAATGTAAAATAGAGGTCTGTTATTCTGGTGTAATTTGAACAGGAGCGGGCGGTCTAACAATATAGCGCTCCCGGGTCCCGAAGCTTTTTTCGGAAGAGCACATCTGTGAATTTCGCAGTCTTATTGAGCACCAGTACAGCCACTGCTCACAACTGTTGGGCATGATGAACACATGGACCAGTGCTTCCTGCACATGCTTTTTTTTTCACACAGTCTGTGCCTGCATCATCTGCATAACAGTCCTCAGAGCAGACTTTACCAACAGTTTTACCTCAGTTTTACACAAGACTGGAACCCAAGTTTTAAGGTGGCACTCATGTCTTAACCCAAAGAGGCAAACAAAACTTACATATAGCCTACAATCCTTGTACAACCCCACACTTTTACCTGTTATCTCTCTCTTACCTAATTAAGATTTTGTAAACCAGATCTAAATTTAGCAGGAACTGGCGGGTTAAGTAGAAAAAGTGGTGGGTTGGGTAGCGGGTGAACAAAGGCTGAATATACAGCAGGAGCAGTTGGGTGCGGAATAAAACCTTGCAGGAGCTGGACTAAAATATTAGTCCTGTGCAGATCTCTACTCATGACTGATGACACAAAATATTAGACTCTAGATTGAGCATTTTGCTATTTTCACTGAACTATGAGTATGATCAGTGTACTGTAACAAGTTTTGTTAATAAAACTAAACATTTTCCTGGAAATTAAATAATCATTCATCAGTGAGATATTTTTCCTTAAATACTCAAATGCAGGAAAAACTCAAGCATTTTTGTACTTTGTTTTAAGTATAATTGAAAAAAGAAGACTTTGTGCTCTTACCAGGGTGTGCTTGATTTGTCTACTTCATTCACCACTGTTCCAAATACAGAGCAGCCATAACACAACTGTGACCTAGACAGAGAAAGAGCTTATCCATACAGAGAGAGCGAGAGATTGGTGCAGGCCAGCTGTTCCTGGAATCTCTTATCCAGAGCTGCAGAAGTGTCCCTGTCATGGTCATCACATCTGGGCACGGAGACAGGAGCTGACATAAGTGCTTTCACTGATATACACACCGCCATTAATAATACATCTTGAGTCATCTTACGGCATCATTGCTGCTCTCTCATGTGTGATGATCCAGGAATGAACCTTTGGAATGAATCTCTAGTTACTGTACAGTTACTTACACTCTGGTTTGTCTAAATTTAAAGGGATAGTTCAAGCAAAAATCGGAAATTCTGTTGTGTTGTTCCAGATCTGGTTGAATTAACTTTCATCTGTCAAACTGAGAAGTTCATGGTCCCTTCTCACAAAACTTTGTTGTTTTAATGCACTAGAGAAACAGTTCATTTAAAAAAGTCTGTTAATTAACAGTTCTTCATAATTTTTATTCTGTTTATTTATGCTTATTTACATTATGCTTGATTATACATTATGCTTGATTTCTGCTCTGACAGCCTTGGATGGTTTTTTTCTTTAAGTTTAACAAAGTGGATATTATCAACATTTTTTGTAGTTAGAAATTATGTAAATGTAAAATAGTGTACAGAATATTAACCGTCAATAGTTTTTCTCTAATTTTATGTATTTACTTATAAATACAGTTGAAGACAAATGAATAGCTCCCTTGTGAATTTTTTATTCTTTTTTAATTGTTACCCGAGTGATGTCAAACAGAGCAAGGACATTATCAAAGTATTTCTCATAATATTTTGTCTTCTGGCTGGAATAAAAAACATTTTCTTTCCTTTCTTTTTTTTATTTATTTTTGATTGACTTGACCACTTCACGTAGTTACTTCTTTAAATCGGGCTTTTATCTGAATTGAAAGTTATTAGAAATTAGTTATTAAAACTATTTTAAGGAAATATTTTAAATAAATTACAATTTTCACTGGAGGGCTAACAATTTCACTGTATATTATTTAGTGTATAATAAAATGTTTTAAAGTGCTAAATTGGCAAAAATCATCAGCGAAAAAGTGTATATATTGTAAATGGAAAACACTTGTGAATCACTAAATGCAATGTGTGTTAAATAATAGATATTTGTAACAATGTAGACAGATGCAGTTTCTCCCAGTGAATGAGAACCCCTCCTAAATTATGAATTGTCCTTTAAGCTCTTGTTGTTATAAATATTTAAATGTGGTAAATGGTAAAACTGTCACTTCACTAGTTGAGTCTTAAGTTAATTCTTGTCTTCACAGGCAGTTCATTCTGAACCAGAACAATGGTCAGCTGAGTGTCCGAGAGGGAACTGCCGCTGGATTGTACAGTCTGCAGGTGAGGGTGGCTGATAAGAGCTGGCCTGACGTCACCTCGTCGGCTGAGGTCACGGTGATGGAGCTGCAAGAAGAGGCTCTGAGGAACGCTGCCTCCATCCGACTGGCCAGTGAGTGCCGTTTCACAAACACTGAAATCTTAAAACAGTCACACTCTGCATTTTTCTTTATCTATAGTGTATACTAATTACTCTGTGTTTGTTTTCTGTTATTTATTATCTGTTAATATTGTTTTAAATGTCCATGCACTATTTTTAATACATTTGTTTCAATAAATTTACCTAGCAATTGCAGGTAGATTGAAAACAAAATGTTAACCAAGTAACAATATGAATTCAATTTTAAGGTAACATTTTAGTTAAAATTAGAGTTAAATTATCATACAATAGTCTTGTAAAATATACTTCAAGGTGCGACATGGTGGCTCAGTGGTTAGCACTGTAGCCTCACAGCAAAAAAAACTTGCTAGTTCAAGTCCCAGCTGGATCAGTTGCCATTTCTGTGTGGAGTTTCTCTGGGTGCTTCCCTGATGAATAAAGGGACTAAGCCAAAAGAAAATGAATGATGAATATATTTCAAAAAACTTTTATATATACAGTAATAAAATCATTTTACAGTGCATCATGAAAAACTGCATTCTCATTGATTAAATTAATTAATTTATTCATTCAATTTGTGTTAGCCCTTGTGTGCTGTTGGGTTATAAATAATGTTAGTCAATGGGGCAGGAACAGCCTCTAACATAACGAAAGGGTAGTAAGTTTAAACAATACACAAGGGTTAAACAAATGTATAACTCTGTATGCATGCTTTGATTTTAGAAACACAAACTAGATTGATAAAACTATCCAAGCTTACAATGAGCTCCAGAACTATTTTCAAGCTCATAAATTGAAACCAAGCTAAAACCAGCTGAAACCCAAAAACATAATAAATACATGCAACTGTGCCATCATATAATGTTAGAAAAAGCAAATAATATAGTTTAACCTCGAAAGTTTGTGTAAAAGCAGATTTTGTCACAATGTACTGCAAAATCATATTTATAATAGAGTATAATGAATAATTCAATACACAACTTGTAAGTGCTCTTGCTTTTTTCACATGTGAAGAGGTCTAAAAAACTATTTGAAAGTAAAACTAGAGTTAAAGTCAGAACTATTATTCCTCCTGAATTATTAACCCCTGCATAATTTAATAATAACTACATAATAGTTTTAATAACTAATTTCTGATAACTGATTTATTTTATCTTTGCCATGATGGCAGTACATAATATTTTACTAGATATTATTAAAGATACTAGTATTCAGCTAAAAGTGACTTTTAAAAGCTTAACTAGGTTAATTTGGCAAGTCGTTGTATAATGATTATTCTGTAGACAATCAAAAAAATAATATTGCTTAAAGGGTTAATAATATTGATCTTAAAATTGATTTAAAAAGCAAGTAAGCTTTTCTAGCTAAAATAAAACAAATAAGACTTTCTCCAGAAAAAAAAGTATTATAGGAAATACTGTGATAAATTCCTTGCTCTATTAAACATCATTTGGGAAACATTTGACAATAAATTCGCAGGGCTAATAATTTTGGCTTTAAAGGGAACCTATTTTACCTCTTTTACAAGATATAAGATAAGCCTTTGGTGTCTCCAGTAAAATTTCAACTCAAAATACCATCAGATTATTTATTATAGCCTCTAGAATCTGCTCATTTTACATGTACAGTGTATGTACATTGTGTCTGTTTTTGTAGCCTGTGGCTTAAAATCCAAATGAGCTGCTTCTCCCCGCCCACCGTCCCCATGTGTGTGTCTGCTTCTCATGCTTTATGTCAGATAAACAGCCATCAGTGATAGAGACAGACATGGATGAAGCTAAAATACAGCTCATTATTAAAAAAAAAGTCATGTAAGCTTATTTGATGTATTTGTGGTGGAGTTCATTCAAGCCCTTCTGAAATGATGAGCCTCATGATTTTACTGTCTTTATTACAAACATGCTCTATTTTAAATTCTATTTAAAAATCACAGAGAGCTGTTACAAATATTTTATTCCTAGTTTATCTGCAAAACAGATGTTCTGTGGACAGGTGTTTACAATTTATTATAGAAACATGGTGCCTGTCAATCAATTCAGTGGGCGGGGAAAACAAAATCACTGGGATTAATGTCAGGAGATTTAAAAGAGACTTGTTAGGTTTATAACACTCTGATATGACAGTAGACACACTATACATACAGACAGTTCTGTCCAAACAGCTTACAAAAGTTGATTTTCATCATAGGAGCCCTTTAACTGTATGTGACTACACTAATAAATGTAATACATTGTTTTTAACACTTTGTTTCTATGTGTTTATCATGCACAGACCTGACAGCGAATGAGTTTTTCCGTGCCTCGGCGAATGAGGAAAGTCGATACATGCGTCTGCGTCGCCTGTTGTCGGAACTCTTCCAGACAGATGTGGAGAACGTTGACGTCTTCAGCCTGGCCAGCGGCAGACAACCAGCTCAGCACCACCTCAGCGTTTGGTTTGCCGCTCATGGCTCGCCGTACTACAAACCGGAGAAACTTCACGGCTACATAGCCATGCACAAAGCAAAGGTGACAAAGTCGAGCGTGCACAAAAACTCACACTTTCCCACCAAACCGCGTCTCCTGTGTGTCTCAGACATGGAGTCTATGGAGCCGTTTGCATTTACACGCGTCTCACACCTGCACTCGGAGACACACTGCATGACGGGTCAATGAATATTTTATTTCTATGTAAGGTATGAGATGGTGGGCTGTCGCTTTGGGTCGCTGGGGCAGGGGGAGAGAGGGATACTAGGATTGAGGACTGGATGGAAAGAACATGTTGCTCCCTGTGCAGCTCTATAAATCAGGTGTAGAGTGGGTGTTCTTCACAGCCCAGCGTGGCGCTAATGCTCTCAGCGAGATGATGTTGATGCACAACACAGAAAGCTGCGCTGACATTTTTACAGCCGCTGTTGAGGGATGTGATGGACTGCCCTTGAGAAGGACCCCCGTCACTCCTGAACAAACAAATAAACACACTTATGCTAACAAGCACATGTGCACAGCCACTAAGGAAAAATCACTTGTGCTGTATTTGAAGCTGCGTAGGATGTTTAGGTGTTTTTTGGTGTTTTTTTTATGTTCACCAAAAAAGAATATTTCCTTTCATGTTTGTTTATTCATTCATTTTCCTTCAGCTTAGTTTCTTTATTCATCAGGGGTCGCCACAGCTGAATGAACCGCCAACTTATCCAGCTTATCCACTCTCACATGCACACACATACACTGCGGCCAATGTAGTTTATTCAATTCACCTAAAGCGCATGTCTTTGGACTGTGGGGGAAACCGAAGCACCCTGCCGGGACTCAAACCAGTGACCTTCTTGCTGTGAGGCGACAGTGCTAACCACTGAGCCACTGTGTCGTCTCTTCATGTTTGTGGGTCAGAGTTATTAAGGGATAGAAAGATATTTAATTTCTGTCATCATTTTACTCTCCCTCTGCTTGTTTCAAACCTTTTGAGTTTCTTCTGTAAAAACAAGAAGATATTTTGAAGAATAATGAAAATCTGTAACAACTGACTCCCATAGTATTTGTTTTTTCTACTATGGATGTCAGTGTTTTCAGCATTTTTCAAGATATCTTCATTTGTGTTCAACAGAAGAAAGAATCTCAGGTTTGGAACCACTTGAAGGTGAGTAAATAATGAGTCAAGTTCTTTACACACTGAAGTCCGAAATGTTCATATGTGTTTTTTTTCGTAATCACATGTGAAAAATTCGTCACGTTAACAAAACCTTGCACACTGAGTCCGGTGCGTATTAATCAATCCATTACGAGAAAATACAAAACATTTCGGAGTCAGTTTAAGCAGCGATACGTCTCGTCTCCAAAGTAGAAACAGGAAAAGTAATGGGCTGCATATTGCATTCATCCAATTGAGAGGAAGGATTGTTCAGCTTATTATCAAACAGTTGCGCTGGATTATCCTGAAGTTTATTTCAGGAAATCAGTGGAATTTTGATACATTGCTTGTGATACTTCACATATTCACGTACGTAGACAAGTCCTGAATAGAGACTAGCATATTATATGACATAGATGGTGGTCGTGTTGACATATCGAAGCAACAGACTGAAAGCGGACCATACTTTTCATTGTAATGTCTATGGGCAGTTAGCAAATGTGTGGAGACAAACACACACACACACACACACACACACACACACACACACACACACACCAAGCAGCAGCAGCAGCAGGGGAGAGGTGTGCCAGTCACTGAATTCAGCATATAGAGGTTCTCAACTGTCCGCTACAATCCGTCTTTATTTTATGCTCTGTGATTGATGTCATATTGTGCAGCTCAAATGAAGGCATTGTGTATTTAGCTTTTTGCTTGTATTGTGGCTCTGAACTGTCAAAACCCCTCCTCTCGAATCACTTTTTCAAATGCGAAAACAGAAAATATTGCGGAAAGTGTGAAAAAAATCTAATTTTATGACTTTTCTTTATGACGGATGAAAGTTTCGGAGGCAGTGTGTCGATACGATTCACACAACCTGAGGTCGAATTCATTTTTATTGTGCGAAAATTACTATTGAAAAATTCGGATTCAGTGTACATTAACCTTTAATTTTCAGTTTGGGGAGAACTATCTCTTTAGCATCAACTAACTTTGTTTTAAACTCATTTTGTATTTAGTTTAAATCATGAAAGACGTGGAAAAACATTTAAATACAAAACATAAATAGAAAAAAAAATTTCTAGGCGATGCGGTTGCGCAGTAGGTAGTGCTGTCGCCTCACAGCAAGGTCACCGGTTCGAGCCTCGGCTGGGTCAGTTGCAATTCTGTGTGGAGATTGAATGTTATCTCTGCATTTGTGTGGGTTTCCTCCGGGTGCTCCGGTTTCCCCCACAGTCCAAAGACATGCGGCATTGGTGAGCTGGGTAGGCTAAATTCAGCGGTTCATTCCGCTGTGGCGACCCCACATTAATAAAGGGATTAAGCCGAAAATTCATGAATGAATGAGTTTTTTCTAGTTTTGAATCTGATATAAACAAATATACATCAAATATAGTTGTTTTTTTCTAATAGAACACTGCAGTATTATGTAGTAAATCATTTTTGTGCATATTTTTTTAAATCATATGCTCTTGTAATTTTTAATCAAAGCAGCTTCATACTAGCCATTACAGCTACACTTCTTCTCTGAAGGTTCACTGGTGCTGGGTTTGAACAACCTTTCACTCTTAAGATCTACCAGTAGCAAACCATATGAGATTAACACAGATTGTAACATTAATCCTCAAACTAACATAAACATAAAGTCCCAAACTACTCTATTATTTTTCTTTTCTAGAAAGTTGTTTCACTGGGGTGCCATAACAGGGAAAAACAGACTATCACAACTTCCGCTTCTGATTGATTTTAATCAGGGTTTGTGTGCTTTGTCTTTCAGTTGGAGTCTGCTCTGGGAGTGACCATTCTTCAGGTGGGGGTGGACGAGTGTGTATATGCAGCCTGTGGTCAGACAGGGGGTTGCTCCAGCAAGGTGACTTTCAGTGACACCCCTACAACCCTCAACAATGGGAACATCTCTCTGGTGTCGGTCTCAGCCAAAGCAAGTGTTCAGTGTGGTTGCCTGGGCCGAGAGAGCGTTCATCTGCACTGCTCCTCATACTCACAAAGCCCCTGTCTGAACGGAGGAACCTGTGTGGATAGTGAACTAGGCTACAGGTAAAACACCCATTTACCACTTGAGTCAGATTAATAGTCATGTTCTACAGTGGAGATCAAAACTAGAGAACGATCTATAGCAGGGGCGCCCAATCTCGGTCCTGGAGGGCTGGGGTCCTGCACAGTTTAGTTCCAACCCCAATCAGTCACACCTGGGCTAGCTAATCAAGCTCTTACTAGGCTTACTAGAAATATTCATGCAGGTGTGTTGAGGCAAGATGGAGCTAAAATCTGTAGGATTACAGCCCTCCTGGACCAAGTTTGGGCACCCCTGATCTATAGTTTACTCATTTTCAAGAACTGAGTCAAAGCTCACTTTTAAGATTCAAGAGTTCCCACTTAGATATGCTTAGCATTTATAGCAGGTTTGGCATGCTGTCCCGGGAGAGAACCCTGTGCTCGGAGATATTTGAGCCCAGGGCTCCCGCCCGGTCAATAAGCATATCAGGGTATCCAAGATCAGGTAGGTCTCGATAGCTACCCCTTTAGAAATGGGAAGGAAAGGAGGAGATGGGGTGGAAGGGGGGATTCTTTCAAAACGAAGATAGAGCAGTAAGGAGAAAATGATCCATTTATAGTAAGCTAGGATCACTCTGATTGGATTATTACTGATTACAGATAAGTATCCAGCAGTGCTCAATCATATCACATGCTCGTCTCGAAATTAGTTTATGAAACTTCACCTAAATTTGTTCATTTATTTGGATCTGTGGGAAACATTATATTTCTTATCCTGGGAAAAGACTGAAATTGTGTGAAGAAGTCAGTAAAAGATGAAGAAGGAAGTTCCGTGAATGACCTGCACACTCTTATCTTACTTTGTCTGCTGAAAATAGAGTTGTAATCTTTGCTCATGCTACAGTTATTACTGTTCTGTAATTCTGATGTCGAGACACCCTTTTTTTGTAAAACACTGTTATCATGGTATAGCCACAACAAACATTAAAATTTCAATAAAAATTACATTTATTTGTTTACATTTATTCATTTGTTTTGATCTTCAGTTTATATGATAGAATAATTGATGTTTTCAACCATGTGATGACCTGGTGAAAGGGATAGTTCACCCAAAGTGTAAAATGATGTCATCATTAACTCACTCTTGACTTGTTTCAAACCAGTTTAAGAATTTCTTTTCTGTTGAATATAAAAGAATATATTTTGAAGAAACCGGTAACCATTGACTTCCATAGTCTTTGTTTTTCCTACTATGGATGTTAATAGTTACAGGTTTTCAGCATTCTTCAAAATATCTTCATTTGTGTTCAACAGAAGAAAGCATTAACAAACTTAGTTTTAATTTCATTTTGTATTTTGTTTAAATCACTTATGAAATGTGAAAAAACTGATATTAAAAAACAAAACTTAAAATGTTTTTTTATATACAGTTTTTTTCTGGTTTCGAATCTGATATAAACAAACATACAACAAATTTAGTTGTAGTTGTTTTCAAATAGAACTGTACAGGGAAGTGGACGCTGACTACAGGGTGTGGATCCAAATGCAAGTTTTATAAACAGGTTGGTGTGGCAAACAATGGTCAACACAGGGGCAAGCAGATGTATACAAGCAAATCCAGAGTCGTGGTCATAAACAGGCGGACGGTCAAAAAGCAGACAGCATACAGGAATAAACAATAAAACAAGGGTCCAACATGGCAAAACAAGGCAGGGAAACCGCGCCTTAATGTTCACAATACTGCTTAAAAGACTCAGCACTGATGTGTGTGAGAGTGCTCTCTTTACAGTCTAGGTAATGAATGAATGATGAGCTTCAGCTTTGTCTGTGTGAGTGTGTGTGTAATCAACGAAATGAGGAACCGGTGTGAGTGAGCACTGCATGATAGGATTTGTAGTCCATATAACAACAAATTTGTAGTTCTTTATTGTACTTTATTGTTCTTTATTGAACTGTGTTTACCAGCTATCTGCAGCCACTAGATCGCTGGTGATCATAACACACACACACACACACACACACACACACACACACACACACACACACACACACACACATATATATATATATATATATATATATATATATATATATATATATATATATATATATATATATATATATATATATATATATAATCATATGCTCTGATTTTTAATCAAACCAGATTTCTACTAGCCATTACAGCTACACATCTTCTATAAAAGTTCACTGATGCAGGGTTTAGATAACCTTTCACTAAGTGGTTACAGGTTTTCAACATTTTTTTAAAGTAACATTTTTTTTTGCATTCAACAGCACAAAAAATAAACTCAAATTTATATGAAACATGTAAGGGGTGAGTAAATGATGGCAGAATTTTGGATGAACTATCCCTTTAAGTTATGACTGATCTTCTGCTCTGTCACAGGTGTAAATGTCCCCCAATGTTTGATGGGCCAGAATGCCAGCAAACCAAACACAGCTTTCTTGGCAACGGCTATGCTTGGTTCCATCCCATAAAGCCGTGCTTCCAGAGCCACATCTCTCTGGAGTTCATCACGGAGGCAGCCAATGGCCTGTTGTTCTACAACGGCCCAATGGGAGCACCTCAGCCCAGAGAAAAAGAGGACTTTATTGCCCTGGGTATGAATCATCATATTTACATGTTTTTGTGCATTCAAAATGAGCAGCTGCATATATATTACACATATCACATATAAACAAGCACAATGTAAAGTCACTTTAGAATACACTGTGTTATTGTAGTATTATTTATATAGTGTTATCTTTTTTTGTTTGTATCTTGAATGAGCATTTATTTTTCTGTTTTCAGTTTACATTATTTTACATTTATTTTTATGAAACATTTGGTTTTATTTGTTTTTAAGGGGGTGTAAGTAAATTATATGTTTAAATATATAATTTTTAAAGATATAAATATATATATATATATATATATATATATATTTATAAAGACTAGTACATGACAATTTTTTTGTATATACATTCACCGGCCACTTTGTTAGGTACACCAGTCCAACTGCACAATACCGTAAATTTCTAATCAGCCAATCACATGGCAGCAACTCAATGCATATAGGCATGTAAACACGTTCAAGACGATCTACTGCAGTTCAAACCGAACATCAGAATAGGGAAGAAAGGTGATTTAAGTGACTTTGAACGTGTCATGGTTGTTGGTGCCAGACAGGCTGGTCTGAGTATTTCAGAAACTGCTCATCTACTGGGATTTTCACGCACAACCATCTCTAGGGTTTACAGAGAATGGTCCAAAAAAGAGAAAATATCCAGTGAGTGGCAGTTCTGTGGGCGCAAATGACTTGTTGATGCCAGAGGTCAGAGGAGAATGGCCAGACTGGTTTGAGCTGATAGAGAGGTAACAGTAACATAAAAAAAACACTTGTTACTACCGAGGTATGCAGAAAAGCATCTCTGTATGCACAACACATTCAACCTTGAGGCGGATGGGCTACAGCAGCAGAAGACCACACCGGGTGCCACTCCTGTCAGCTAAGAACAGGAAAATGAGGCTACAATTCGCACAGGCTCACCAAAATGTAGATAATAGAAGATTGAAGAAATGTTGCCTGTCTGATTCTTGATTTCTGCTGCAACATTTGGATGGTAGGGTCAGAATTTGGCATCAACAACATTAAAGCATGGATCCATCCTGCCTTGTATCAACGGTTCAGGCTGGTAGTAGTGGTGTAATGGTGTGGGGTGTGGGAGTTCACTGTACTCAAATGGCCTCCACAGTCACCAGACTCAATCCAATAGAGCATTGGGATGTGGTAGAACGGGAGATTTGCATCACTGATGTGCAGCCGACAAATCTGCAGCAACTGCGTGATGCTATCCTGTCAATATAGACCAAAATCTCAGAGGAATATTTCGAGCATCTTGCTGAATCTGTGCCACGAAGGATTAAGGCAGTTCTGAGGGCAAAAGGGGTCCAACTCTGTACTATTAAGGTGTACCTAATAAAGTGGCCAGTGAGTGTATATCCACTATATTAAAAATTAATTTTAATATAAAATTAGGTTTTCTTTTTTTAGGTTTTCATCAAAAAGTTTTATTTAGTTGCAGCTTTGTTTGAATTACCAACATAAACGTATGTTTTTAAAGTAGTGTCATTTGTAATATTAGTTTAACACACATTGAGACTGCTTCCAAATTCTGAAATAGAAAGGGTCAGTTCTCATGTTACCACTGCATGACATTAATTTCCACTCTTAATTAAGTGTGTGACTAAAATCGATGAATGGCAACAGGCACAGTCTGAAGTGCGCCATTAGTGATAGATGTTTGTAAATGTGTTCGGTCAGCAGTGGTGAGAGTGCAGTTTGGGTCAACATTGATCTAAACCTCAGGTCATTGCAGAAGGTCACACATTCAGATTCTGTGCCACCTGTCCAATACTGTATCGTGCAACTGGTCGCATGATTTCGGGAAATAACCCTCCCGTGGCCTTGCATAAGCTTACATCATCACTTTGGTGCATGTTTTTATTGAACTGGGGCCAAAACCCTCCAGTGCAGTGACAGCAATTTCAACCTGACCACAAATTGATTGCGAATAAGCATTTTTTTTTACTGCTGGGGGTCAAAAGCAATCTGAGGGGCCACAAAACAGCATTGGATTTTCATGTCACACATGTTTGCGGTACTGGTGTCATGTGCTGGCCCGTGATGAGTTTGAAACTTAGCAAAAGTTCAATTCAATTCATCTTTCTTTCTATAGCGTGTTTACAATGTAGATTGTATCAAAACAGCTTAACATAGAAGTTCTAGTAAATTGAAACTGTGTCAGTCCAGTTTTCAGAGTTAGAATTCAGTTTAGTTCAGTTCAGTGTGGTTTATTTTTCACTGCTGAAAGTCCAAACACAAGAGCAAATCCATCCACTTCACCAAGAGACAAAAGTGAAAGAAAAAACCTTGGGAAAAACAGGCTCTGTTGGGCATGACCGTTTCCCCTCTGGCCAAACTTAGCTTGAGATCAAATCTGTGAGATTGTTTCAGCATTTTTTGTCATTACCCGAATCAGTTTAGGTTAAAAGTTTAAGAACATTGTGAAAATATATAATTTTAGAGTAGCACTTTATTTTGATGGTCCATTTGAGTAGTAGTAGACTGTCTGCTTAATATCTGCTGATATTGACATTCAACAGACATTTAACTGACTATAAGAAACTTTGCAAATACATGTAAACTTACACTAACCCTAACCCCAACCTAACAGTCTACTTATAATCTAATGAGAATTAGTTGGCATGCAGATGTAATGTACCTTAAATTCAACAAACGGACCATCAAAATAAAGTGTGACCAATTTTAGTATTGTCTAATTGTCTAATGGGCAGTGCGCCAACATATAGCGCAACAGCGTTGTGGCCATTACAAGTTTGAGTCTCGACATAAGGACCTATCCCAATCCATCCCTCTCTCTATCTACAGCTTAGCTTTTTGTCATTATACTTTCCTGTCAAAATAAAGGCAAAAAATATATAAATGATGTCATTTCCACAATAGTAACCATAACAACAGTTTTTTTTACGTTTGTAATGAGAAGAAATGTTTCTTGAGCAAAAAAAAAATCTGCATTTTAAAATTATTTCCAAAAAGTAATGTGACCATTAAGATTTGAATAATTATACTGAAAAATAAATCCAATTAATAAATAAAGAACATTTTAGAATAAGTGCATATACACTCAAAAAATATTTTTGCTGCTTGTTCAAACTACTTTGAACTAATATTTACAGACTACTATTTAAAATGAGCTGAAACAGCACGATTCTTGAGATTTTTTGGGACAACTTAATTGATTTATCATCAAATCACTGAAATGAGTCAAGTTAACTTAATAGATTTGTTTTGGGACAACAGGAATGAATTGTGTAGAACCCAGCAATTGTTTTTATTATTTAAAGTGTATGAGTTTGTTTTAATCTGTAATAGTTTTTCACAACATTTTTGATCAAATAATGCTGTTAATATTAATAATAATAAATGCTAATAATGAGTTATAGAATAATTACATAGTAACAGGCCCAGCCGGCACTTGAAACAGTGACCTTCTTGCTGTGGGGTGACAGTGCTAACCACAGAGCCACCTTGTGTGAAGTATTTAGAAAATCTTGAAAACTTTTTTCACTATAAAGAACCTTTCATTCAATGGAAAATTTCGATGGATGTTGAAAGTAATTCTTGCAAGGAGAAATAAGAAGCCTTTATTTTTCAAGATTGTTGGTGAGCCTCGGAGGCTTTTAAACCTGGCAGCTTTTAATATACCTCTGTTTTTTTTATTCCATTTTTAATAGAGCTGAAAAATGGAGTTCCAGTGCTGAGTGTGAATCATGGTTCAGGAACTCTGACCCTGCAGCTGAGCGCGAGAGCCACTGTCACAGACCGCCGCTGGCATCACCTCGACATCATCAGCGATGGCAAGGTATAAACATAGACTGAAAATGAAGAGCACATGGCCAGGTTGACACACTAGACCGCTGCCATTCATTATGTTTTTTAATTTTTTTATTTGCCTTTCATTTCATATCTGAAACTGACAGAGAGTGCTGTTAGTCACGTATCTCTGATGCTCTCATTGGGTTAAGCAGATTGTGAGCTTTGGCGCCCTCTAGGATTGGGTCTGAAATATTCAATAACCAAACTTGACGCCTGGCGCACTCGGATGTGGTGTGACACTTAGCCCTCTAGTTAAATCATTTGAGTGTGTTTGTGTGCGTGTGTGTTTCTGCAGAGTGTTCAAATGATTCTGGACCACTGCTCTGGAGCCGTGGTGAACGAGGTGGAAGGTCTGGGAGTAGAGATGTTTGAGACTGATCAGTCTGTGTGCAAGGCTTCTGGCGAGACACCAGGCAGTGAGAGGTAAAAAATTATGATCTTAAAGAGACAGTAACCCAAAAAGAATGATTTTCACATCCTCCATTTGTTTAAACTTGTTTGAACACAAGGGAATATAAATAAAAAAAGCTTTAATTAATATATCACTATTTTCCTGCTATGGATGTTAGGTGCTACAGGTTTCTTCTTTATGCCTTCTTAATGCCTTAAATAAAAGTTTCTGAACATTATACAGGGTATTTTTTATCATTTATATCATTTATAACACATCATTTCCATATGGATGTAGACTCTGATAAAAATCTGATTTTATTTTATGATCACAACCCACAGTTCGGAACGCACGTGACCCGCAAATTAATCACTTTTTTGAACTTGTAGGTTAATCCAACATTTATAACAATTGCAGAGAGATTGCCTCCCACCTCATTTAAATCACATATAAATATAATGATTATTAATTATTAGGTTATTGATTAAAAGTGTTAAAAGTGTGATAAATGAGAATGATTTACATGTTTATGCACTGCATTCAAATCTATGTTTGATCGAGAGAGATTTAGTTAAAATTTTTCAGTTCATTACAAACAATGAAATAAGACAGAAGTACTGGGAGAACATCACTGATGTGCCAGCAGGGTTTAGCTCTAACCCAGCAGGGTTTAGGTCTAACTTGCCTCAACACACCTACCTGGGTGTTTCAAGTATACCTAGTAAGACCTTGATTAGCTTGTTCAGGTGTGTTTGATTAGGGTTGGAGCTAAAACCTGCAGGACACCGGCCCTCCAGGAACAAGTTTGGTGACCACTGGTTTAATGGAACGTCAAGTTGAATGTTGTAGCAATTACATTGTTTAACCAATAGGTGGCGACAAACAACCATCAAAATTATATCACTGAATATGTTTTTATGCGTAATACGCCTAAAATAAAACATGTTTTATGTGTAAATTGTCATCATTAATGACAATTTAATCCTCTGAATCATTAATTGAAAATAAATATATGTTGTACAAGATTTCTATAATATTTCTATCATATTCTTAATTTTTCGTATTGAATATTTTCCTTATTTTTAGCTTGTTCTTCCTTGATTTTGGATTTTTGTTAAAATGACAGGTTAAAATTTATAATAATATATTCTGTTTGTCAAAACCAATGGTTTTTGCAGTAATATTTTTTTATAAATGGAAAGCAATTGACATTTGTCTACCTTTTTGCTGATGGTCCGATCCTTGACTGAAAAACCACACTGTGATCTGAACCGTGAGATTTGTGATCCGTTACACCACTAATATTTATTTATTTTTATTTATTTTTTCAAGAATGCATTCATCTAGAATAAAACATTTAAAGAAACAAAGAAGACATTTGGGGATATTAATAATAAATGAAAATAATAAAAAAAAACCCAAAATGAAAATTCTGTCATCATTTATTCACCATCATGTCTTTTCAAACCCCTTATATCTATATAATAAATCTGTTCATCATAAAGCAAGCATATCCTTTAAAAAGCTTGATGGATGCGCATTTATTTTTTTATCTCCTAAGAAACATTATGAAGTGTAAAGAGTTTCAGTCAATGGAGGGATTAAAATCTCTCAGATATTATGTTTTGGGGTGAACTAACCCTTTAACAACAAATTGTAATGTAAACTAAAGCTTGTTTTTTTTACTATTGGTTGCTCTTTCTTTTCCAGAACAATAAACTTATCTTTTTTTATTTGTATGTAATATTTCATCAGTAGTAGCAAGTAGAAAATCAAGATGGCAGATGAGTTGACATGTCTGAATATACATATCTGTGGATTTCACATGTGTTTATCTCTCCTCAGGTTTTTGGATGTCTACCAGCCTCTTCAGCTGGGTGGTGTTAAAGAGACACACTCACTGCGCAGGTCACATCCACACTACAAAGGGTTTGTGGGATGTATGAGGAACCTGGTGGTGGACAGTCAGGTAATACCACTGTAAATGTGTTTATACATCTAGAAGCTGGTTTGATTTGAACCAATTTAGTACACTACAGTCTATACAGTATACTACTGCTTTCTGGAGGTAGTCTAGAGGCAAAATATTGAATACATATGCGCTTATTCATTAACAAACTGTATCTATCTACTGTCATCTTTTGTAGTAAAAGCAGTTTTTATTGTAGAGCATCCTTATTGGAGTAAACAGGCCTTTAATTCTATTTAAATGGTTTATTTGTGATCTGGAATACATTGAGCCTAAATAATAAGATGCAATAGAAATAAATTTTGATGTAAATCATACACACTTGTATAACGCAATGTAAAATTCCACCTAAAATTTATTGTGCTCATATTTCAGAAATGGTTGTATATATTTTGCATAATATATTAAGTCTTAAACATAATTTCTTACATGGTTGAGATTCAGACCAAAGTGTTTCGCTTTCTAATCCACGATCTTTTGTTTAGATGGAACAAACGTTCACCTGAGCCACTTTCTGACAGGGCGTCGATACGGATCAATGCGGTTCAGCATTGTGCTAACTCAGGCCTTTCTCTGTGTTTGTGTGTGTGTGTGTTTTCTGTCAGGTGTACGACCTCAGCAGCGCAGCAGAGAGTGAGAACACCGCCCCGGGATGTGCCCTGACGGATGGTGTGTGTTTGACTGCAGGAGGACCGTCTTGTGGAGTACATGGGAGATGCTTAGGTGAATGGGGCTCTTTCAGCTGTGATTGCCATCCTGGATACAGCGGACACAAGTGTGATAAGGGTAAGCCAACACAACATACATTATACATCACTCCATGGCCTATTGTTTGATGATCATGAATATAGGTCAGGGTTTTTCAAAGTCTAAGACAGTGGGCCTCCCTTTTGACACAACTTATCCATTGGCGCCCCCCTCCACCCAAACACGCACACGCACACACACACACACACACATATATATATATATATATATATATATATATATATATATATATATATATATATATATATATATATACAGTATAAAGACACAGACAGATGTCAGACGGTTAACTCACTTTTATAATCATTTGCATGAAAGTGCAATTATTTACAGAGTAATAACAAGTATTTTAATATAACGTTTTTAAAACTAGAATGATGGTTCAATATGAATAGAACAGATCCAAGAACTGTCCATCCCAGTCAAAACTGTCAAAGTTTAGCGGGTCTCATGCTGTCATTAGCCAAAATATTCTGACAAACCACACATAAAGGTCGTGGTTCATCAGATGGTCCTGTCCACGTAAATCCTAAACTCAAATACTGATCATCATATCGTCGTCTTTTGGGTTTAAGCCCTGAACTTGAAGGCTTTTGTGGCGAGGGGGCGTGGCCGAGAGCCGTGGGAACGGAGTGAGGCCACCGCGTGAGTGGATACACCTGCGGTGCGCACCTGCCTCAGATCCCACGGAAGGAGCCCTGGATCATAAAAGGAGGAACGTGGGCAGAGGAAGCCGAGAGAGTACCGGACCCGGACATATTTTACTTTTGCTTTCAGTTTGTTTTGGTTTAGACGGCAGCCTCCGTGAGGAGCTGCCGTCTAGGTCATATGAAGTTATGCGTCTGTCTGTCTGTGCCTGTCCGTCTATCTATCTATCTATCTATCTATCTATCTATCTATCTATCTATCTATCTATCTATCTATCTATCTATCTATCTATCTATCTATCTATCTATCTATCTATCTATCTATCTATCTATCTATCCACTGAACTTTATCCATCTATCTATCCATCCATGCATCCATCCATCATACTTTATCCATCCATCCAGCCGTTCATCATACTCTATCTATCCATCCATCCATCCATCCATCCATCCATCCATCCATCCATCCATCGTACTGTATTCATCCATCCATCCATCTATCTATCCATCTATCCATCCATCAATTCATCCATCGTACTGTATCCATCCATCCATCATTCTGTATCCATCCATCTATCCATCCATCCATCCATTCATCCATTGTACTGTATCTATCCATCCATCCATCTTACTGTATCTATCCATCAATCCATCCACCCATCCATCAATCTATCCATTGTACTGTATCTATTCATCTATCCATCCATCCTACCTACTGTATCTATTCATCTATTTATCCATTCATCCATAAATTGTACTGTATCCATCCATCCATATATTGTACCATATTCATCCATCCATCAATCATACTGTATCATCCATCTATCCATCCATCCATCTATCCATCCATCCATCCATCCATCCATCCATTGTACTGTATCTACCAATCTATCCATCCATCCATCCATCCATCACACTGTATCTATCCATCTATCTATCTATCCACCCTACTGTATCTGTCCATCTATCTATCCATCCATCCATCCATCCATCCATCCGTTCGTCCGTCTATCCATCCATCCATCCATCAATCCATCCTAATGTATATATCCATCTATCCATCCATCCTACTGTAGCTATCCATCTATCAGCCATCCATCTATTTCATTGTATCCATCCATCCATCCATCCATCCATCCATCCATTCATCGTACTGTATCCATCCATTCATCCTTCCACACATAATTAAAATATTACCTATTTTTTAATAAGTGTACAAAACATGTATTATAATATATTTAAAAGACAATGTATTCGTGTCATGCCAGTATTGCAGTTTTTATTACACTTGGCATCTGTGTGCATCCAAGCACGTCATTATTTTGGTCACAGTGGTAATAATGCGATTAAGGTGTTACCGCGCTTTTAAAATGTGTATTGCGTTTATTGCCTGCACCACAAAGGTAATGTAATTATGGTTAGGATGATTATGAGCTTAATCACATTATTGTGATTGAAGTATTGTGTTTACATGAGGTAAAGTTTAATTGCAATATGGCAAAAATCCCATTTTAATCAGATTATGAGGGTGCATGTAAATGTATTGAAAAAGCTTAATATTTTCTGACACATTTAAGTTTCTGTGATGAATGAGGAAGTTAATAGAAAGCATTTATCTGAAATCTCTTGTAACATTATAAATGTCTTTGCTATTAGTTTTGTCTATTTAATGTATCGCTGTTAGAAAAATGCAATTTCTGATACACTGATCTCCACTTATACAATGGAGTATGTTAAAAAGTCAAATATTATTCTGATTTCTTATATTATTTGTTTACATCTTAGCGCTTCCTGAGTGGTCATTTGAGAGGGACAGTGTGTTGAGGTACCAGCTGAGGGGTGGAGGAAGTCCACGACGGACACAAGCTCATTTCCTGCTGAGAACACGCTCCTCAACGGGCACCCTTCTCAGCATGGCCTCACGGGACGCCAATGAGTTCATCATCCTGGAAGTGAGTGATACACATCAATGCAAAATCATAAATGGTTAAAGAGTGTTCAATCAGAAATTTTCAAATGCATAATTGCATACATGCATAATTTGAAGCTCCTAGTGCACTTTGAAGGAAATGTCACTCCCAGGGGCGGGGTTTATGTAAATTTAAGGGTTAACTTGGTAAACCAAGGGTAAACTTGGTGATGTCACAAACCCAAGGAAAAGGCCAAGGAAAAGCTTGTTGTAGGCCTTAAAATGCAAATTCTGTTAAATAAAAGATCTCACTTTGCATTACACCTTAAATCCCGTAACTTTTCATTAAAGTTTATGTTCAGAAATCATTCAAAACTAATTTTAATAAAATGTTGAATCCCATTTAAAGCTAACACTGTGCACTGTACTTTTTCAGATAGTGGATGGGTACCTCAATGTTCGTGCTAACCTTGGTGACGGCACTCACTCGCTAAAACTAACAGGCCAGCGTGTAAACCATGGCCAGTGGGTGCTGATCAGCATTCTCCGGCATGACAACATCTTCATCCTGCGACTGGAGCAGGGCGGAGGCTCACGAGAGGTGACAGGGGTCCTGGGACAGAAGAAGGAAATTGTAGTTCACCCCTCCAGTGTGTTTCTGGGAAACAGCGCCAGCCCAAACACACAGGGAGACTTTCAGGGTGAGTTTACTCATCACTTTCTTCCTCACTCCTGGGATTTTTATCTTAAACTAATTTGTTTGTTTTCGGTAATGATGATAGCGCGAGAAATAATTGATTAGCCATCAAATTATCATCACATAATGAAATAGATTGAGGTGATTTGTTCTCTAGATTGTTTTCTAATAATTCAGCAGACTTATACTATGGTTTCCACACCCACAGACATTATTTAGGTCTTCTATTTCAGGACATTTGTTGTGACTATTTTGGTGTAGATTTTTCTCCATCTCATTCAAACATTTAGATTTTAAGTTGTAGATTGTAACTGTGTTTTTCTCTGAAAATAATTGAACCATTCATTTCAGGTTTTCCAGTCTCTTCTAATGTTCAAATGAGTAGATTCAGGAGTGTTTAAATAGGAAGAGGTTGAAAATGTGCCTTCAGGAACAGTGTTGGGAAATACTACTTTAAAGGACAGTTTTCTATTCATCCAAAAATCCTACAAAAAAGATCATAGTTTCCTTGAAAATGTGAAGGAAGTTATCTACACTGCAAAAAAATGCTTTTCTTACTTAGATTTTTTGACTTGTTTCTAGACCAAATATTTGAAAATTCCTAAATCAAGAAGAATTTTCTAGACAAGCAAAACATATTGTCTTGTTTTTAGAAATAATATGCCAATATTAAGTGAGTTTTTACTTAAAACAAGCCAAATAATCTGCCAATAGGGTAAGCAAAATAATCTTACGTCAAAAGAAAAAACAAGATTATTTTGTTTACCCCATTGGCAGATTATTTTGCTTGTTTTAAGGAAAATCTCACTTAATATTGGCATATTATTTCTCAAAACGAGACAATATGTTTTGCTTGTCTAGAAAATGCCTCTTGATATAAGAAATTTTAGATATTTAGACTAGAAACAAGACAAAAAATCTAAGCAAGAAAAGCATTTTTGCAGTGTAGCTTATTTCTCACAGATATAATACATGACTTGAGCACGAAATGAATTAAAATGATTTCAGAAGGATTGTTTGGATCCCAATCCCAATTTAATTCTTAAAACTTTCAAGAACACCAATATATAAATAAAAAAATAAACATCTCATACACTGCAAAAAAAGTTTATTTTCTTACTTTGATTTTTTGTCTTCTTTCTATACCAAATATCTAAAAATTCTTAAATAAAGAAGAATTTTCTACACAAGCACAGTTTTTCCTACAAACAAGCAGAACAATCTGCCAATAGGGTAAACAAAATAATCTTATTTCAAAAGGGAAAACAAGATTGTTTTGCTTACCCCATTGGCAGATTATTTTCCTTGTTTTAAGGAAAAACTCACTTAATATTGGCATGTTATTTCTGAAAACATGACAATATTTTTTTCTTGTCTAGAAAATGCTTCTTGATATAAGAATTTTTAGATATTTGGACTAAAAAGAAGACAAAAAAATCGAAGTAAGAAAAGCATTTTTTGTTGTGTACTGTACCTAAAGCATTTCATAGAGTGATTAATGACTTGTTATCCTGCAGGCTGTATGCGGGATGTAAGGCTGAATGGTCATTCTCTATCGCTGGATGGTCAGAGCACAGAGTTCAGTACTGTACTGGAGCGCCGTGGTGTCGTACCCGGCTGCCACTCAGACGCCTGCAGCGCCAAACCCTGCCTGAGCCCGCTGTACTGTGTCGACATGTGGAGGAAACACGAGTGCAGGTTTATACTCACACGTTTACACACACACAATATTAACACAATTATAACAGGACGACAAGATTTCTGATTACATCAACCTGGCATTCTGGCATTTTACACAGTCATTCCAATAAACTAAAATCACATTAAGACTTGTAGTTTTCTTATTTTAGTTGCTTCGTCATAACGCATTATAAGATCACTATTGCCATCATGTAGCACTTTTGTTGCATTTTGCGACAGAATAAACACACGGAAATGGTCAACAGTTTGACAGCAAACAAAAAAAGCAAGAATGTAAGCAAGAATTTGCATCCACTTTCATCTGTTTGCACATTTAGTATGACAAATAATAAACTGCATTTGAAGCTTTTATACTTTAAAAAATGAAACACTAAACTGTTAATGGTACCAAAATGAACACATTGACATATGACTGACATGACAATGACATTTCAAGTGTTCACACTTAGGGTGCTTTCACACCTGTGAATCGATTAGTTGTTCCGAAACAGAGATTACAAATGTTACATTGTTGCTCTTTGCTCTTGGTGCGGTTCGCTTTCACATTGCAAAGTTTCTAATCGGACCAAAAGAGCTAAAACAAGTCTCGTGTGAGTAAACTCTCTTCACATTGGTCAGAGTGTCAGAGTTTATTTTGCAGCGTCCCGCTCAGCTGTCAGGAGAGGTGGTGGTTTGATGGTGATTGACAGGGTGCGCGCGCGATGTGTCTGAGGAGAGATGCGGTGGGGAGGGGTGAGAAGGATGCGCGACGTAGCCTATTTGAGAAGGAGATCATCACTCGTTTGCGGGCATCCGGAGACTCGCGAAACTTCCCGCCCTACTCATAATTCTCTCTTCATATAGCCGTATGCCTATTACATATCCATAAAACACTGTGATATAACCGCGCTCGGATCGGATCGCTTTCTCACTGTAATCGAACCGCTCCAGGGTTCGTTTCAATCGAGCTAAGACCACCTCATTCAAGCGATCTCGGAGCGATTACTTTGGCGCAGAACAGAGCGCAATTGCCCTGTTCAAATATGCCAAACGAACCACGCTAACTGGGCAATCGAGACACGTTCCGAAACAAAAGTGTAGGTGTGAAAGCACCCTTAGCTGATTATTGATAATAAAGCACATTTGGCATGCTGTCCCGGGAGAATATCCTCAGAATATCTTCGAGCCCAGGGCTCCCTCCCCTTTGAAGGGCGAGAGGAAAGTTTGAGCTCAGGTAGATCTCGAGAACCTGTTATTCTTGGCTCTCAGCCCTGCTAGCTCAGGACTACGTAAGCGACTGTTTTCACACCACAGTCACTTTATAGTTGCAACTTCTAAGTGTTTACATGCATTGTCATGATGGTACATTAACTTGATAATATGTTACTCACTCACCTGAATGCCTTTCAAAGATATAGCTTCATATGAGTATTTACCAGGCACGTGCACACATAGGGCTCAACCTGTGCTGTGCACATGCCCTTTTTAGTCTTGGATAGAAAGTGCCCTTCCAAAATGATCAAAAGTGCCCCCGCGAAGCGGCACACCTTCGGTCCAGCCCTTCAGTAGGCGCGCGACAACACCGCTCTTGAGTACCCGCGCGACAACACAGCTGATCAGTACGCGTGCGATAACACCGCTCTTCAGTACACGCGCATCCACTCTGCAGATCTGCAGCAATTCCCCCCCCCCAAGCTATAATGGAAGTCAATGGTGCAAAAACAGCCACCAACATAACAAAGGGGTAGTCAATTTGAACAGCACATATGGGTCAATCATAACATTGTTTTATTCAGAATAAAGTAAACAACTAAATTACAGATATCAATGTAAACATACCCACTCTCACTGTCTACCTTCATGTAATCTTCCTCTTTCTCTCTTTCTCTCTTTCTCTCTCTCTCTCTCTCTCTCTCTCTCCAGGTGTCCAGCCAATCAGGTCGCAGTGCTGGATGAGGTCACGGGTCTTATGCGTTGCGCTCCGTCCCCCTGCAGTGCCAGTACATGTCGTAACGGTGGCACCTGTTTAGCTCACTCCACTAAGAGCTACCAGTGCCGCTGTCCAGAGGGCTTCAGGGGTCAGTGGTGTGAGATCGGCCAGCTCAAATCTCTCCGTCTCGCTGCGCTCAGTCCCAGCTCCATCCTGGCCATCAGCATGTGTCTCCTCGTCTTTTTTGGTAACTATCAAGAAATTGTCAAACACACATATGTTCTTATGAAGTCTTAGTAATCAATCGCAATATTTCTATCCAACTGATTTCACGCAGATTTTGGTATACTGCAAGGCAATACACAATGGTAATTTAAAGTGCTTTACATTAAACATGAATAAAAGAAACAATGCAAGTAAAAGACACAAAAATAACAAACAGCAAACTATTTTTTTGTTGTTTACTGAATAAAAACTTCATTTAAAATGCATTTATATATATATATATATATATATATATATATATATATATATATATATACTCCATTTAAGTAGACCCTTTTTACAGTTTAAATTAAGGAAATGTGTAAATAATGATTCTTAATAAACACAAACACACTTAATTGTGTCATTCTGTTTTTACAGTTTAGCTCAGATCACAAGTGGTGTACAGTAGAGATCTGTGCAGGACTTAATTTTGAATCCTGCTCCTGCCCGCTCCTGCTAGGTTTTAGTCTGAACCCGACCGCTCCTGCTTATGTTCAGCATTTGTTGGCCTGCTGCTCGACCTGCCTCGTTTTCTACCTGACACAGCCGCGCACATATACACTCTTGATGAGCTTATACACTTTTGATTGCTTTCAGAGGTGGTAAAACCCAGACTATTGACTGGATTTCTTCATTTCAGTCATTTGGTTAAATGTAGGGCAGCAAGAAGGTTGCTGTTTTGAGTCTTGGCTGGACCAATTGGCATTTCTGTGTAGACTTTGCATGTTCTCCCCATGGTTGTTTGGGTTTCCTCCAGGTGCTTTGGTTTCCCACACAGTCCAAAGACATTATTAGCAGGGCTTAATTTGTGCTGGAACACACCCTATCTGGCACCTCTGAAATCTGATCCGGCACCTCATTTTACCGACTCCCCTCCTCAACCGCCCTCCTCCCGCTATTCACTTTCACTTTTTTCCGCGACTCCCCAACACTCTTCACTTTTGCCCACCACACCCCTGCTCCATCCAACACTCCACACTAGTTGAATTGAATGAAGCAAATTGACCATAGTTTATGAGTGTATGTGTGAATGTGAGAGTGTATGGGTGTTCCCCAGTAATGGAAGGGCATCTGCTGCGTAAAACATATGCTAGAATAATTAGTGGTTTATTCTGCTGTGATGACCCCTGATAACTTAAGGGAATTAGCCGAAGGAAAATGAATGAATGCTCCTTACTGCCCACTTTAAAACCAGACAGGGTTTAGACTTTAGCATCAGAAATCAAATGTTTGAGCAAAATGCACCTTTACCAGTCATAATTGGATAGCATAAATGTGTTTGGGGTTGTTTCGCAGCTATCAGTGCCGGAACGAAAGCTAATTCACTCTATGTCTTTTCTATTGGCTAAGTTTGTATTCGTATGTAAATTGTGCAGGCTTATCTTCAAATATTTGATGGAAAAAGCAGAAAAATCTTACACATTCTTTTGTGCATAGACACTAAACTCAAAGAAAGCAGTGAAGTTGGGGGAAAGGTATGGATTTAAACACCGCATGTAAATGAGATTGTGTTGCCCTCCTCAAGTTATGATCCAACTTGATCAAAACACATCTTAAAGTGGTAGTTGATTCAATCCCCTGAGACATTAGTTCATCTCCAGGGCACAAATTAAGATATCTTAGATAAGATTTGTTTGTTAAATTTAAGCTACATTGCATCTACATGCCAACTAATTCGCATTAGTTTATAAGTAGACTGTTAGGTTGTAAACGTCTGTTGAAGGACTGATAAATGTCAGTATCAACAGATATTAAGCAGACAGTCTACTGATACTCAAATGAACCATTAAAATAAAGTTTTACTGAAATCCGAAACCTTCATAGACAGAAATTGTCATGAAATGTTCAGAAAGGGAAATCAAAAACATTGTTAAAACATTCAATGTGACTTCATGCAAACTTGTTTTTATAGTTTTTTTTGGGAGCAGAAAAGGGTTCTTGGAGCTTCGTTTTATTACAGTTGATCCACTGAAGTCACGTTAAATGTCCTGACATGTTTTTTTGTTCCTGTTCTGAACATTTCTGTGCTGTTTTTGCCTATGGAGGACACAAGAGCTCTCGGATTTAATCAAAAATTGCTTAATTTGTGTTTTAAATGAAGGTTTCATGGGGATTGGACAGCATTGTGAATACGTAGCCTGTATAAATTTCTGGAGAGAGCGAATTATGTAGCCAGAGGTCGAACGTCGAACGAATGCAGCATGATGCCGTTGACGGCTTCTATTTCTTTTTGCACTACCGCTACTTTCATGTGGACGTCTTTTCCGCTGTCATCAGATTTTCCAGTGGCTAAATTGGTGCTTTTTAAAACTGTTTAACCGGTTGGGTTTAGTAAGGGGGTGGGTGGGGTTATCGGTCAGTCAGTAAGTCAGTCAGTCAGTCAGTCGACAGTGGCCTCTGGTGGATTTACGTGAGAAGATCAGGGGAATGACACTTGAGAGAGATATCTGAGAACTCAAAAAACATACACAGTGGCCTCTGGTGGATTCATAAAAAGAAAATCGCAAAAAATTTACCTCTTGGGATGTATTTTGCTCTCTCTAGAAATCTATATAGGGGGTACGTATCCATAATGAGGCTGGGTTGGGATTGGAACTACATGAGTGTGAGAAATGAATAACAGAATTTTCATTTTTGTGTGAACTAACCATTCAGTAGCAGGCGTAAACAGACCATCAAAGGCCTTTTGTGATTATTAGCTTCTCTTAAACCCACGGGATTGAAATTCTGCTTTATTTGCACATTATTTATACAATTTATATCTTTAGAAGGAAAACAGTGTAAAACTGTGATGAGACCCTCTCAGTTTGTGCCAATGTATTGTGAAAAGTGTCAATAGAGAGCTGAGAAACAAGAGCAAGAATGATGAGGCCAGGTGTGTGTGTTTGTGTGCGTGTGTGTGTCAGACAGGTACAACAGTGACGTGACAGGCTGGCATTGCCCTCCAGGCCTCTCTGCCAGCTCTGACACCCATCAGCCACATCACAAGCAGACACACAAATCCTTTTTAAAGCATTACCACATGCAGGCAGAAAGAAATCACTCATCAGCCGAGGCCAAAATGAGGAAAAAGTGCTGCCAGATGATGGGATTGGATGGGATTGGTTGGGCTCGTGGCCTTCAGAAATTTGGCTGAAAATGATATGGTTATTTTTGGATTGATCTGCCTTAATTGAAACGAAGAGTCTTACCTTCAATGAACTGCCAAGATGGCATGAGCTGGTTGGTGAGACAGGCAGCCTGCGGTCAGATTTCTGCACTTATAAGTCAACATCAAATCAAAACTCACCCCTTTTCAGTTTGCTTTAGGTTGTATTTTGAATTTATTACATAAGGAGAGCATTTTTTAAATAAAAACGCCTCTGTACTAAAACATTTTAATGTCAAAACTGAATTACAATACTGTTCATAAGATTTGTTTTTGTGTGTCTCCTATGCTCAGAATTTCTTTTTATAATAATATACTAAAATAACTAAGTTTTTGTTACAACATTTTTCAAATTGTGATGTGATGACAAAGCTGAATTTTCAGCATCATTACTTTAGTAATATTAAATGATCCTTTCAAAATCAAATTAATATGATCATTTTTCCTACATCTGCTGCCTAATATAAATATGTGAAAATTTTCAGTATTATTATAATTATTGGGTTAAAAAGAAAGCTCTTTCTGATTTTGATTTGGTTTTTATTTTATTTTTAATTAAAATGTCACTCACATTCATTGAAGTGAAGTGAAGTGAAGTGTAGAAGCAAGAGTAGAAGTAGAAGTAGGAGTAGAAGTAAAGTAGAAGTAAAGTAAAAGTAATGTAGAAGTAAAATAGAAATAAAGTAGTTTTAGTAAAGTATAAATAGAAGTAGTAGTAAAGCTAAAGTTAAGTAGAATTGAATTAAAGTAGAAGTAATGTAAAGTAGAAGTAAAGTAAAATAGTAGTAAAGTAGAAGTGAATTAAAGTAGAAATAGAGTAGAAGTAAAGTGAAAGTAGAGTTGAAGTAAAGCAGAAGTAAAGTAAAGTAGAAGTAAAGTAAAAGTAATGTAGAAGTAAAGTAGAAATAAAAGAAGTGAAGTAGAAGTAAAGTAGAAGTAACACAAGTAAAGTAGATGTAAAGTGAAAGTAGAAGTAGAGTAAAGTAGAAGTGAAGTAAAGTAGTAAAGAAAAGTAGAAGTAGTGGTAAAGTAATGTAATGTGTGGAAGTAAAGTAGAAGTATATGAGTAAAGTAAATTAGAAGTAAAGTAGGAGTGAAATAAAGTAGAAGTACTGTAGAAGTAATGTAAAGTTGAAGTAAAGTGAAAGCAAAATAAAAGTAAAAGTTGAAGTAAAGTACTAGTGAAGTAGAAGTAAAGTAGAAGTAAAGTAAAGTGAAGTGAAAGTTGTGACGTGGCCAAGTATGGTGAACCGGAATTTGTGCTCTGCATTTAACCCATCCAAGTGCACGCACACACAGCAATGAACACTCACAACACACACACACACACACACTTTGAGGGATGCATTCTTTCTAAATAATTGCTAAATAAATCTTATTAAATAAGCATATAACAGTTTTACTGACTTATAGAACATCTCACCGCAAGAAGGTTGCTGGTTTGAGTCCCGACTGGGCCAGTAGGCATTTCTGCCTGGAGTTTGCATGTTCTCCCCATGTTTGCGTGGGTTTCCTCTGGGTGTCCAAACACGTGGTATTGGTAAATTGAATGAACTAAATTGGCCGTAATGTATGAGTGCATATAAGAGTGTGTTTCCCAGTACTGGGTTGCAGCTGGAAGGGCATCTGCTGTGTAAAACATATGCTGGAATAGTTGCTGGTTCATTCTGCTGTGGTGACCGCTGAAAAATAAGATACTAAGCAGGAAGAAAATTGAATGGATGACTTAAAGTAGTGTATGAAAACCAAAAACAAATGTTTACATTCAGGACACTACTGCAATATCTGTTAATGACAGTGATCACCAGTGTTGTTTTAATCTGCTTCTCTCTCATCTGCAGCTGTGCTCGTAGCCGTGACCGTATGGAATCAGAAGGGCAGCAGGAATAAGTTTCGTAAGCGAGGTGTTTACCACATCCCAGCGGAGCACGAGAGCTGGGAGGACATCCGGGAAAACATCCTCAACTACAACGAGGAGGGAGGAGGAGAGCAGGACCAGGTATTCCATTAACACTGGGACATATTGATTTACTTTCTGGAAGACTCGGGTCAGGGGGATGACCTCCATGACTAGAGCTCAGCATCCTCCAGGTGGCAGCATTCAGTTCATAGTCTAGATCAGAGATGCCCAAACATTGAACTCTATTGTCTTATAAATGTGATTGTTTATGTTTTTATTGCAATAAATTATTGTTTAAAAAGTTATTTTGCATTAGTCAATATGATTTAAAGTAATGTTATCTATTTATTTCAAAATACTATAAAATAAATTAGAAAAATACCCATGGCAACCTTAGAGGAATATAGTTTGTAATATTTACCTTTGACCCACGACTCTCGATGATATTTGGTTTTTGGCCCTTTATGCTAAATAGGCACCACTTGAATAGATATTGTATTCTGATTTTCAGACATGCTAGAATTGTGCTATATTGCCACATGATCTCATTTAGCCTAAAGTATACTTCAGTTTACAGCCTTTTAAAGTATTTTGCATTTGATAGCAAACACTTGACATTCATCCTGGCCCATTATCTCGGACTTTCTCTTCACAAATTATGAGCAACAAAAAAAGTTTGTGGGCGATGCAGTGGCGCAGTAGGTAGTGCTGTCTACTCACAGCAAGAAAGTTGCTGGTTCGAGCCTCGGCTGGGTCAGTTGGCATTTCTGTGTGGAGTTTGCATGCTCTCCCTGCGTTCACGTGGGTTTCCTCTGGGTGTTCCAGTTTCCCCCACTGTCCAAAGACATGTGGTACAGGTGAATTGGGTAGGCTAAATTGTCCGTTGTGTGTGTGTGTGTTTGTTTCCCAGAGATGGGTTGCGGCTGGAAGCGCATCCTCTGCGTAAAAAACGTGCTAAATAAGTTGGCGGTTCATTCTGCTGTGGTGACCCCGGATTAATAAAGGGTCTAAGCCGGAAAGAAAAAACATGAATGAAAACATTTTTGTGTACCTGTTTGCAAGATGTTGTTGCAGTTCTTGTTTGACTGTGAAATGACAGACTGGTCCAGTGCTGACACCTTATGGACAAACTAAGTAATGCAAAGCAGTGTGTCGAGTGTACATTGTATGGCATCAGGAGCGTCTGCAGGATTTTATTCCAGGGCACACACAAATCCATCACAAACACAAGTAGATTTCATTACCCATCTCCCACCATGCAAGTACATACAGACTGTAAAACACACAAACACACACTTTAATTGTTTTTCATTCTTTCTTGCTTTGTCAATATATCGTAGTGTATCTATTTAAATTAAATAATAAATAAATAAATAAAAAAGCACCATTAGTTCCCACCCTCTCATGGTAGGTACGCACAGTGCGTACTGCCGTACGACTGCAGACGCCACTGTATGGCATCAGTATAGACAGTGTGTACAGTACAGGCCTGTAGTCAGATACTATTTTTGAAACATTTTATGGTGCAGGGTCTTAAAATGTCTTTTTTTTTTTTTTTAAATCTCAATTTTAGGCCATAAAGTGTTTTAAATTCACTATAATATTATGTTGTAAGTCTTAAATCATTTTCAACGGGTCTTAGTTTCCCTATGTCTATGTAAAGCTACCCAATGAGGCCAACACCCATCCACTCAGTCTCAGCCCATCTTAATAAAAGTTTTAACAAAAGTTTCTTTCTTAAATCTATTTATATGGTTTTTAATGTTTTTTAAAATGTTTATCTGGGCCATTAGAAAAAAAATCTTTTGCAATAAACCTTGTGCAAGTCTGAAATTTCATTCATAATGGTCCTAAAAAGGTCTTAAAAAGTCTTAAATTTGACTTGATGAAAACTGTAGAAACCCTGGTATTACTCTGCTTCACTGAATCGATTTATTTAGAATAATGTTTACGTGCAATATTTGAGCAATTAATCATAAAAAATGACCTTAAATGAAGTAATTACTTTACTTATTTCAGCTGAAGAGTAATTTAATCACAGTAACTAATTAATGTGTAACTAATTACACCCAACATTAAGGGACAGTAAATATTGAGTCTTTAACCTCTTTGAAGTCCCCGTAAGCCGGAAGCTGCAACGTTTTTTTTTTTTTTGTTTTTTTGTTTTTTCGTATTGTGTGCGCAGTTCCTAGAGAAATTAAATATTAAATGAGAAAACAGTATGTGTGGCTTGTTTTTTCCTCTGATTAGATGTAGTAAAGTAGACAATTCGTTCAGAAAGATTAGGAAAAGGGTTTCGGGAGAGTTATTACAACCAAACAGACACCTCCTTCTCCTCAACATTTCTGTTTGTTGTCAAAACTGACAGTTGAAGGGGCGTGGTTATTTATGTAAGCCACGCCTATTACCTCAGACAGACTTATGCCTAGTTCAGACTGCGTGATTTTAGCCCCGATTTTGGCTCGCCGACAGGTTTTGAGAGATCGCCGACAAATGCCTGAAATCACAGGCAAATCGGTGCTCGTGCACGTGAGTGACAATCACACAGTATGAACTATCAAAAAGACGCGATCTGAGAGAATCGTCGATGAGCGCCGATGCCTGCAAGATATTTGGCATGCTAAACATCTGGAGCTGTCGGCGATTCAAATCATGCCGTGTGAATTGAGTTTTGACCAGGGTTTTGACTGAAAATAACATCAGCGATCGCCTACAGCCAATGAGAGAGCAGCTTTCACTTGCGTGTGAGTGTGTAAAGTCATGCAATGTGAAAGTCCCTGTCGCTGATACCTCTTGCAGTGTAAACAAAGCAGCGTCGAAACGCTAGCCCAGATAGTCAAACAGTGTGAAAACATCTGTGACACGACTACTTTGAAAATCATGCAGTCTGAACTCTGCATTAATCTAAGAATTAAAGGTGTATTTTCAGATTTCCAGTAAAGATTACAAGCGCTAACAATTATTGTTCTTCTTAATAACATGCACAGATGAATTGTTTACTACAAAACTAGCAATGTGAGCTAACAAAATCAGTATGTTAGTTTTGATTTCATTTGTACTTTAAGATAAAGTCAAACAGGAGCTCTTCTGATGCACTTTTCTGAATGTTAAACCCACAGAACGCCTATGACATCACTGAGCTGAAGAGGCCGCTGTGTTCCAGCTTGTCCCAGTCCTCGTCCTGCACCACTGCGCCCCTCATCAAATCCTCCCAGGGTTCTCAGGAGGAGGTTCACCCCTGCGGAGCCATCCAGAACGCAGCCATGCTTCCGTACCAGCACCACAGTGGAGGCCACTGCTCTATGGACTTCAAGAGCTACGTGTCCCGCATCATCTGGGAGGCGGACAACGACAGCCTGTCATTCCCCATGGACACCTATCACGTGTACTGCATCGAAGGCTCAGGTTCCAATGCCGGCAGCCTCAGCTCTCTGGGCTCCTTCATCTCTGACGATGGCTTCAGCTACGACACGCTTCGCCGCTGGGGGTCTAAGTTCGAAGGCCTGAGCGAGCTTTACCGCCGACCCGAGCTGGACATCCCATACATGGACACAGTGCAGAGCCAGAGCCTGGAACAGCAACAATGAACACTTGAAGGTTTTGAATGTGTGTTTTTGTGTTGATTTGAAGAACAGCTTTAAGGGCGACGAGCAGCTGAGGTTTGAAGAGTGCTTTGGTTTATTTATTGAGGAAATTGTTAAATGTACTGTATTTATTTTTGAGGGTTTACTCTGATGAGGAACAAAGCCAGTGAATCGTCAAGATTTGAATAAGGTTTAGGGTCACGTTCAGCTTCTTAGTGAACATTAGTGGGTAATTCTGTGCTCCATTCAACTTTAAAGTATGACAGCTTTCATTTTGGATAATTTAAAGCTACTTGTTGGCAGAGAGGCTCAGAGGCTCATATGGAACAATTATTCCTTGACAGTGACTACTTTTACATGGACATCAGTTATAGAATCATTTTCCTTAATGTGATTAAGGCAATAATATGATGAAGGTGTTTACATGAGTTGCGTTTAAATGTTCCTTTCATGATCCCGTTTTACATGTTAAAGCACATAATTCGAATAACGTCACTGCGTCACCACACTATCCACATTTCCTCCGGCGTTTCATGTAATTTCGGGTGTTTCATTGTTAATTTGTTGACTTTAACTGCAGTTTGGCACTTTCACTTTCATTCAGGAACATTTCCTGCATGCCCCCGTGATAAACAAGATATTGGATGTGAGTATGGACTGCTGGAAGAGATTTGGAGAAAAACCTCAGCATTTCACTATGCAGGTGTCCTTCACTGACTCGGCAGGTGCAGAGCATAGTGTCAAACAGCCGTGTGTGGAGACTTTCCTGTCGCAAAATGCGGCAAAAATCCTACACGATAGTAATAGTTTGATTGCGGTGTTTACATGTCTGTATGGCACTTCAATAATGCCACTAACATCGGCATACTCCACATGTCTTAATTCCATTTCTGCTTAGTTTGGTTATGACTTTAATCAGATGAAATTAATCAAAAATAGCTGTCTACATGGTAGACTCTTAAACAGAGTATTGTCCTAATCATATCAATATCAGATTAACGGTGTCCATGTAAATGTACTCAATGAAATATGATGAAATCTGTCTTCCAATCTCTTATTAGAAATATTATTGCGATTTAAAATAAATGTAGTAACAATGTCAAAGTTTTTATTAATTAACATTTTTAATTCTGACCTTAAATTTTCTTTGAACTTGATTTTCAGATTTTTTTCAGGCCTGAATACAAAACAGGAAATCATCAAATAATTTAAAAATGCAAATTTAAAAAGCAATATTTAGACTTGTAAACAATGTAATCAAATTACATTAATCAATGATTGAAGACAAAACTATTGGCCCTCCTGTTTAATTTGAATTCTTTCTCACTCTGCCGAGTGCTGTTTAACGTAGAGAAGATTTTTTAACACATTTTTAAACTTAATTGTTTTAAAAACTCTTTTTATTTTGTCTTTGAAATGATGGCTGCACATAATATTTTCCTAGTTATTTTGCAAGATGCGAGTATTCAGCTTAAAGTGCAATTTAAAGCCTTTACTAGGTTAATTATGCAAGTCATTGGACAGCAGTTTGTTCTGTTATCTTACATGTTTCTAATAATATTGATCCTACCAGTGTTTGTTTATTTGTTTGTTTTAGCTCATTCACTTATAATATAAGAAACAAAATATTATTACATATATACATATAAGAAACACATAAGAAACATATAAGAAACAAGATATTATTGAATAGAAACTTATTAAAGAATCTGTAGAAACATTGCTGTTAAACATCACTTGGGGAATATTTGGAAAAAATTTCAAATTGATTTTATTTTACTGAGGATCATCATCAGCAGAGGCAGTTTCATGCCATGATGTATCACACAACATAACAAGGAAATGAAAATATACTCTCTCAGAAATAAAGGTACAAATGCTGTCACGGGGGTGGTACCATTTCCAAAATTACACTTTTGTACTTTACAGCTGCACATTAGTACTTTAAGGTGCACTTTTGTATCTTAACAAGAGATGCATGCTGCATACTGGTGGTCGTGTGGAGAGACCCCCCTCATGCTTGTGAAGCACTATGGGTGTATGGCCATACACAATAAATGCGCGATATAAATACACACGTTACATAATATCCAGTACAGACTTGTACTTTAAGCATTATCATGTACCTTTAAGGGCCTGTAAGGAACAAAAAAAATACATTTTTGTACCTTTATATCTGAGAGTGTATCATTCATTTGCCTTTGAATGGAGCACAGGATTATTTTCATCAGTTCACTGTGAACAGCAAAACATTTTACAAATCTGCACTTGACCAAAACACTCTTGTTTTAATGGACCCAGCTGCACCGGCAATGGACGCCTACTTCTGAATTAACATAAATTTGCCAAAAGAGGGTCATGAAGACACCGAAAGACTTCACCAGTGACTGATGTGCCAATAAATCACAAACCCACTCATGCAAAGAGTGCAAAAAGTCGCAGTACTTTCAGCCACTGGTGGTATAAAACCTGCCATAAATATTCATTGTGTAAGATTTTCCTTTTCCAGCCGTTTCTGATGCTGGTGTGCTGAAATGTGTAAACGCCAGGTGAATGTATCGTGTATCGAGTAGCCGAGATGAGAACCCACTGTGTCCAAGTCTGATTTAAAAGTTCAAATGTGGCCAGACGCAGCGCAAATACAATCACTTAAGAAAAAAGCTTATAAATATTTTCAATTGCAATATACTTGAGGATCTGTATAGTTCTATTTTTATTGATGTGAATCACAAATGTGAGGCGTTTTGTAAAAATAAAAAGAAGCAATGAGCCATAAGATTAAGGTTAGACCTGTAATAGATGCTCAGCAAAACCTCTACAGGTGTAAATTGAGTTTTAAGCCTCACACAAGGCCTTTTATTTCTGGAAAGGACCAAAAGTTCCTTCACGTCTCTTGTAAAGCTTCAAGAGCTTGAATATAGCTGAAATGTCCTCTGAACACAGACCTGTGCTGCTCATTGTACCATGTAAATGATGTACATACAGAAATACGTTTTCTAGAGTCTTAACGTTTTCCTTTTTTGTATATGACTTTTAATAAATGAAATGTTTTCCTTGAGTGACTGAGGACAGTGCTTATTTTCTTCATTTCACGCCTCAGTCGGTGATATGTTTTTTCTGTGATCGTTTACTGCCGCCTAGTGGTGAGCTGGGGTGATTACAGGCTATTTTAGTCCGTTATTTGGGGTCGATTTTCTTTCCTGCGTACAATTTACATCATTGTCTGTATTTTGTTATTATTATTATTATTATTATTATTATTATTATTATTATTATTATTATTATTATTATTATTTAAAGTCAGAGCTCTTCAGTTTGTGGCGTTAACTGCTGACGCTGTTCCTCTGTTCATCATGATTGTCTTCAGCTGTGTTGGCGTGTGAGTAAAAAGGCCCATTATACTCTTTTTCTTCTTTTAATTTGCTATATTTTCTCACTTGCGGCACATTAATATAATTTACTAACTTTGTCTTTCGTGTGTATTTGTTTTTTAATTTATTGACCCTTGTGTGCTGTTCAAATTTATATCCTTTTGTTAGGAATGAAAACATCCACTGGTTTAAACTGCTGTGAAAATGCATTCGATAAATATTGTTCTTTCAAAATCTGTTTATCAACCTCAGTCCTGATCAAAACTACTCAGTTGTTTAGAAAATGACAGGATTTTACCTGTAATTGCCAAATGATGTCACTGATTTGGTGAAAAAAACACAAAATGATGTGTTTTCAATACTACTTCATAACTAATTGTGGACTGGATTTCTTTTTACCTTTTGTCAGTTTTGGACATGTGAACGATTAGTAACAACACTGGCTTTGATGCTTTGTTAGATTTTCTTTTTTTTCTGATTAATTTAAGGTTGGTGGCTGTTTTTGCCCCATTGATAACCACATTTGATGGTGCATAAATACACAGTCTTTGTTTTTATTTACTCCATGTAGTTCTGAGAGCTGAGATGCATATTCAGATTTTTTCAGACACATCAAAGTGCGCAAAGGTTACTCTCACACACTCACAGATACACTAACATACTAACATACACACAGCCATCTTGTATTAATGATTTCATCAAGCCAGAAATATTTGGGATGGAAGATGGCAGCCACTGTTACTGTATTTCTTTCGGTCCACTGAAACTGCTTTCAGTTTTTTGGGGACAATTGCTATGATAAGGCACCTTAACTTGAGGTTAATTACGGTCTACAAATATGGACATTATGCATGAAATTGATATTCAGGTTGAACTCAAAAATAAGGGTGATGGTTTTAGCAATCATTTAGTGTCATGTTAGGCTGCATGGTGGCGCAGTGGGTAGCACGTTGGCCTCAAAGCAAAAAGATCTTGGTTCAAGCCTCGGCTCAGGCTGAATCATTTCTTTTCTGTGTGGTTTTTGCATGTTCTCCCCGTGTTTGGGTGGGTTTCCTCCGGGTGCTCCGGTTTCAGTTCAAATGGTACAGGTGACTTGGTAAAGGCTAAATTGTCCATAGTATATTGTGTGAATGAGTGTGTATGGATTTTTCCCAGTGATGGGTTGCAGCTGGAAGGGCATCCACTGCGTAAAACATATGCTGGATAAGTTGTCAGTTCATTCCGCTGTGGCGACCCCAGATCAATAAAGGGACCAAGCCAAAAAGAAAATTAATGAATGAATAGTTTCATGTCTACTGTTTTTTTTTTTTTTTTTTTTTTGTAAAATATTATGTATTTATTAGCAGTTCATTCTGCTCCGGTGATACCTGATAAATTCAGAAGGAAATGCTATTTTTATAAAAGTTATAAATTATACATTTTTATAAATGACTTATTTATTAATTATGTTCAACGCTTGCTCCATGTATGCATACGTTCTTCTGCTTCTCTTAATGAAGCAGTATATGGGCCATACACACCTCATTAAAGGCATGTGTCGTCTGGACGATGTTCTTTGTCTCAGGGGCTCCTGCAAAGGTTGGGGGTTCATGACTATGAAGGACACTAAAGAAGGGACACTCGTTCCCACAAACACACAATAACTCGCACAATAGGGGCATTGTGACGCCAACATTATGAAGCAGGACTCATCTGACAGACATATAGAAAGAGCAGCACAAACTCACACTCCTCACCTCTCTGATGGGCTCACAGAAGCTTTAATGTATTTCCCGACTTCACAACTTCGAGTTGCCATTGACGCTATCCAGCGAATATTATTTTTTGTTTAAAAGAAGTCTAACAGGCTTCACATCCAAACGATGCTTGTCAATGAAACATTTATAGACGCCTAAAGTTCAAAAATAGACTAGTCATCAAATACACAGAAATGAAAACACACGTGTCTGTAGAATCCGTCTACTCCATTGCCTTTACATTTATACTGACAGACCCATATAGCTTTGTTTTATTGTCTATTATATGACTTTTAAAGGGATAGTTTGCTCAAAAATGAAAGTTGAGCAAACTCATTTTTAAAAGTGTAGTGTATTGATTATATTTTAAAATAGCCTTCATAGGCACAATTTAAACTTTCAAAAAATCTGATTTTCTTACCTCAGGCATTAAAGCCATATATATGTGTATATGTATATATGTATATATGTATATATATATATGTGTGTGTGTGTGTGTGTGTGTGTGTGTGTGTGTGTGTGTGTGTGTGTGTGTGTGTGTGTATATTTGTTTTATATTTGTTTTATTTTTATTTGGACACCCATTATTCTCAACCCCGTAATGGACAAAATGTAGTTGTTAATATTAGTATTTTACAAAGCTTTTGCTATAAAACCAACATTTACCTGTTGCTCATTTGTCCCTCAAATCAATTTAATGGCTAATATATAACATTTTTGATAAGTTTTAGATTTATATGTGATTTTAGTTACAATTATACAATTTATGCATTCAAATCAAACCACATATTTACAATGTTAGGCCTTATTTAATTATTTTGCTTATTTTATTTTCCAAAAATTATTAATTTCACAGGGTTGAGAATACAGTGACGGGTTGAAGTCCATAACAGGGTTGAGGGGACACTTTCATTTCAATTTTAATTTATTTTAATTAATTTGAAATTAAATCTAAGACCAAAACACTTATTTATTTTAGTAAAATATTTAGCAAAGGCATTAATCACACAGATGAAATTAAACGTCATTAAACTGAACTACAGTCAAAATTCAAAAAAGTAAACTGCTGCGGGTAACTGAACCGTTAGTAACCTTTAAAAATGCTGATAAAGGCCTGGGTTACCAAATATACTACTGAACAGAACCTACAGTAAACAGGAGCGACAGGTAAATCATGTCTAAAACATTATTTCATGGAACATAAATAAAAACTACAGCAGAAAAGTTCTTCTTAATGAAATTGTTAATGAAATTCTTAATAATAATAAAAGATCAAATTATATAGCCAGATGGGCTGGTCTGAGTATTTCAGAAACTGCTGATCTATTGGGATGTTCATGCACAATCATCTCCAGGGCAGAAAATTATTTAGTGAGTGGCAGCTCTGTGGGTGCAAATGTCAGCGAATGGCCATTGTTTCTAGCTGATAAAAAGGCAACAGTAACTCAAATAAGCAATAGTTACAATCGAGGTCTGCAGAAGAGCATCTCTGAAACACAACACGTCCAACCTTGACGCAGATGGGCTACAGCAGCAGAAGACCACCAGGGGATTCAACCAGGGATTCCTAAACCTTTTAATAGCTTCACCCTCTTTATCTATAATATTAAAATGAATTATGCCCTTATTGACCCCCTCTCTAAAGTTGGCCGGGTAATTGTCACAGGACTTTGAGATAAACAAACTAACTATTTACATAATTTAAGTATTTTTTTATTTTACATGTTTTGATTTTAATAGCTTTTCATTAACTCATGATCAAAATTGTTCAATACGCTGGGACGTGTGCCAAGTCTGACATAAAACTGCGTCAAAGTTTAAGTGAAAACACTGCTTCAAATATTCTATCAGTGAATAAAAATTAAAGTAAGCATATATTTACTGAAACGTTTTTATTTTTATTTTTTATTCAAATTCTTGATAAAGTAGACGAATAGCTCAATCCTGCAAGTTTACAATCCCAAAACAATGACGTGTTTGGGGATGAGTGTGATGGGCTTGAATTTTTAAAACAAAATGACCTCTGCTCCTCGTGTGGTTTAAAAGAGAAGGCACACATGGCAGCAATTAAACAAGAATATTTTATATTGTTCGGAAATTATATATATATATATATATATATATATATATATATATATATATATATTTATTTTATTATTTTTTTTTTTTAAAGAACAATCATATTCCATTTTAGTTTTACGTTACAGGGTTAAATAGTTAAGCTTGACCGTACCCTTCCTAACAATAATAAACATCAAAAAATGAAAAATGTAAATAAATTAAAATATATCTTGCCTTCTTTTGGACCATGCTGTTAAAGAGAGCTGAATGATGTCACATCCTGTCTGTGATGTCATATAAGAGTGGAGTCTAAATTGCTATAGTTGGAGGATTGCTGGCTTAACGGGTTGAGTTTATATTGAGGGACATAACTTTGTAGCCAGTTTTTATTTAAAAAAATATATTTTTTGTTTAATTTTTATTTATCACCAGAAAAGAACACAAATAGTTGTGTGCATTTTAAATTTTTTTTCTACATGCAATTTCAAAGAAGTGCCTCAGGGACATGATAAATAGCTTGGTTGGGTGACAGAAATATTATTTTTATGCTAAAAATGCTATATCAAAGTAAATCAATAAAAAATGCTTTTAAAATTTAATTTTAGTAAACAACCACTTTAAAAATATGGGGGACTGAAATATTACCGTTTGCCAGGAATGACCCGGTTAAGTTTTTTTTTTTTCAGTTCTTTATATATATCCTCCAAAACACTGTATATCAAAAGCAGTTTGTCTTTGTTCTTTCCTGTCAGTTGATGTGGAGGTGAGGAGAGCGACAGCTCAGACAAAACAATGACACTTCAACACCTCATTAGGACATTTGCAATGTAGATGTTGCTTTTAGTGGCTTTCCCTTGTAATTCTGCCAAAAGGTGCACCATCGCCTCCCC